AAATATATTTAAGGATAGGGCAGTGAATAGGGAGAGTTCTAGATCCCCTAGGAACCTCAACCATCCCCAAAATATGTATTTTCACATTATGTATATGTTTTTTTCAAATGTTAATTTTCACTTCCAAGAAGGAATGTGGGTCCATTAGAGGAGAAGGAATTTTTTTCAAATCTTATGTCACTAGATTCAGTTTAGTGACCAGGCAAATCAATAAAGATTATTTCACTTGATTCTCATTTTTCCTTGTGTATCCTCTACCAGAAGAGAATATGAGGAAGATGCATTTATGTCTTCTGAGAAGATAGAAACACCCTTGAGGGACCAAAGGTTCAAATGAAGAACATCCTCACAACTCATCCAGACTCCAATTTGTACGTGCAGAGCTTAACTTGTACTGACTCTACCAGTGTAACAGAACTCATCCCATACCACGACAGATGGTTCCAACAGCTCTTACAGCAGCATCATGAAAGTCACCACTTCACATTGCACAAGTTTCTCTAGGCTGTCCAGTAATCTCTGCGTCTCACTCTGTTTATCCTCAACTTCTGCACACAGCTGTTTATCCTCTGGTATTCAAGGCACATTGTTTAATTCCAGTTGGCAAGAATGGGAGCAGAAGCAGGGACTGGATGGCACTACGATGATTTTGAATTGTCACCTAAGACCCATCAAGTCCCTTGGGAGCAATTCCTCAAAAATGACACCAAACGCAAACATTTGAACAACTGACTCAGTTGCTTTTTAGTCCCTGGTGGAGGGAGTTTCAGCAGGGACAGGCTCAGCAGAACAACTTCAGGGCCCAGGCTGCCCAAGATAACACCTTAGGTATCACACTGCTCTTTAATTACAAAGGTGGAAATCTGTGTTGTGATTGTCAGTTGCCGTTGAACCTGAGATGTAGAAATCCTCTAAAATGGGGCTCAAGTTCCTGCTCGAAGTATTCTGAGAACCAGACAAGAAATGCCATAAATAAGAGGCTTCTGCCAGTTTTGAGTTCTTTGCTGTGCTGTTGTCCACATTCCAAGGAGAGGGGAATGTGCTACCAGTCCATCCCTGGGGAAGAGGTAGGCATTATGGTTTTAAACAACTTTTCCTTGGCAGAGAGTCAAACCAAGGTAATTATACTGCCACAACAACCCTATAACCACCCTTTATGGAAGAAGTGGAGGATCACCTCTTCCAGCTCCATTTTAGAAAGAAAACAGACACAAATGTCCTCTGAAAAGCACTTTCTGCCTGGCTGCCAAGTGGGACCAGGCCTCTTGGGGTATGACAGGCAGGAAAACCAAACACACCCCACCCTTAGGTGGGTGATAAGATAAAAATTGCTCAGACAGAGGCAGCTCTGTACATGTAGAGACGCCCAGCTCAGCGTTTTTAGAGCTTTAGAGTAACAGCAGAACACACCTACCCTGGGCAACACCTGAAGAAAAGTTTAGGTGGTGAGATGGAATATCTGACCTGGATTGTCAGTGTAGATAATGGTTTTATTTCTGGCTGAATGTCCCTTTATGGGTGTACATTATATATATAATGTATGTATATATTACACATATATTATATGTATATTTTACACCTATATGCGTGTATATATATATATAATATATATAATATATATAATATATATTATTATACATGTATATAATTATAAACATTATATATTATATATTTTATATACATATATATGCATATATTATTTTAGATAGATTTTTATATCATATGTATACATTATATATAATGTATATCTAATAATACATATGTATAATATATATGTGTATATATAATATATATTTAACATTTATATTTCTAATACATATTTACTATATATAAATGTATAATATAATATTTTTATATATGTATGATATATGTGTATTTAATATACATATATTGGGTATACATTTATATATAATATATACATACTATATATAATGTATGTCTAATAATATATATGTATAATAGATATGTGTATATATGTATGATAATACATATAATATATAATAAAATAATATACTATACATTTTATATTATGTGCATATATATTATCATACATATATTATATATACATTTATATATAATGTATATATAAAATTCTAAATTATATTTTATAAACATGTATGTATAAATGTATATTATATTTTATATAATATATAAAATAAATTTTTAGATATAAAAATTTAAATGTATATATAAATTTCCTTCAGGTCAGACAACAAGTAGGCAATAACACTGAAGAATTCAAGGAATTTTTTTCTAGGAATGGTTGGCAAGAGGAATCAGCGGATAAATCTTTCATGGGAATCATTTTACCCTTTGGTGGGAAGGTGCTAAGCTGAGGTCCTGCCACACAGAGCAAGAAAAGAGAGTTATTCTTTCCATATTTAAATTCTTTCCATCATAGTCCACCCAAACTACCTTATCCAATTGCATCCCTAAATCTGGAGCCTGAGTGAAGAACAAAAACAAAGATACAGAAGAGCTTTTGCTCCACCTGGATAAGAAAAATCACTTTAGCAGCACCTCAAACTCCTGCAGCAAATAGGATCCTGCAAACCATCTCCCTCATTTCCTTGTCTCTTCCACGTATTTCAGATGGCATATATTGTCTTTCATGAAATATTGCAGTTCTCAGCAGCTGTTATCCTACCCCTTGAAGTTTGTGAGCCATGTCTGACCAAGGTAAACCTGCTCCATTGCTAATAACTTTTATAAAATAGATAAAGAAATGAATATTGGCACAGAGCAGCCTGTTAAGCCAATCGGAGACAAGAACATTTTAATTAAAATGAGGCTGCAAAATGACAAACTCAATAAATAATGACACTCAAACAAGTCGAATTCCAATTAAATGCAACAAATCAGATTTATGAGTCACACCAGAAAGAATCATTTTGCATCAGTCTTATGCTGGTTTCAGTGCTTTCAAGTCTCACTGGCAAAAAAAAAACGTAGGCATCCTTAATATTTCTGTTGCCTTCAGCAAGACATCAGTTTAACACTATCTTCATGTGCATGCAATACAATCCCTGCAGTCATGTTAAGACAGTATTGTCCTTTAAATATTTATAAAATGTTTCTACTGTTACAAATAATTGTGGATATCACCATTCTAACCAGGCTAGGATTTCAGAATACAGAATTGGTATAGGCACTAGTCAACAGAGGTTTCCAAATTACATTTTAAACAGATTTTTTTTAACAGCTTCTTTTTTGAACAGGATCATTCTCAAAGGCATCTGTCAGCTATTATTATGAAATAACCAGAACAGTGCTATTAGTACCTGCACCTACACAAAAAAGAAATATAAATAAAAAGAAGAAATGGAGATGTTCTTAAAACAACAAAGGCAAAAATAAAAGCCCAAACTCCTGCTTTGTGTGTGTGGGGGGGAGCTTGATCTTGTTACCTAGAAGAGGCTGTTGGTGCCTGCAGCTTGTAACACATGAGTTGCTGCTCAGTTGTTCATGGTGGTATCTCACTTTAAGATCTTCCACATCTTCCTCCTGTGGGTGTTTTGTCCCCTGAAAGCTCTGGGTGTGAATGGCAGAGGAGAAGAACCACATGGTCTTTGTTTTTGTGGGCAAATTGTCTATTTATTTGCCATTGTAGACTCACCTTCACGGGTTTTGGTCAATTAGGTGGACATAGCACAACACAGGTTCTGCCAGTGTGGCTCAACTGTCTCCTAGTGGAATATCTTTGCTCTACAAGGTATTGGGAGATATTGAATCAGAATTCCTTTGCAAAATCAGCAAGATTAATCAGAAATCTCACACTCTTTCTAAAACAGGAATTAATTTCAATCCAAAAATCATGAAGAAGAACTTTATTCATAATTATAGCTATAATTTCTTACAATTTCTCTTTTTATCCTATTTTTAGCTTTTCTGTTTTAGCTTTTCCAAACAACCAGGTTATCATCGCTCAGCTTTTTTCCCCCTGCTTTTTTCCCTGCTGTTAAATGATAACCACACATCAACTTGTTCTTTCATACATCCTCTATTTTTACTATCTGTTATTCATCTCTCCGCCTTGACATTTTACCTTTCCCATACAATTTAAAGCACTCTGAATGAAAATATTCAACCACAGACCCGCTTCTTTCTTTTATTGTCTCTCTCAAAACCCAGCGGTGTTCTTGGAGAGCCTCTACACAGGTGTGTATGACACTTTCCACCAGCAGAAGTTGTCCTTGACCATAAACACAGGTCCTTGGAATGACCAAGAAATAATCATTTAGATAAAATTTAATACACATAAAACTCAATAAAAGCAAGAGTGCCATAAACACCCTTGAAATGTGGACCTGCTCCTCAGTGCTTAGGCTTGTTCTCAATCTTATTCAAGGCTGGTCTACATCAGAAAGCCAGTCAGACAGCACAGTTAGCACTCAATTAACATATATACATGTATTTATGCCTATAAATAATACATGCTATACAAACTGGATTCAAACTGCCTACTACAGGTGTAAACCAGCAATTAATTATCTCCCTCCCCACGCAATCCATGAACAGAACTAGTTATAACACCTAAGTAATCAGAACAAGTAGTTTACATGTGATCAGTAGCAACGGGGACATACCCCAGGCCATCTTGTTCTTTGCACCTTTATCTATTCAAAAATATCCCTTAAAGATTCCCCCTGCCCTAATATCTCCTGACTTCCTGCAGTTTGCTTTGTGCTATCCCAAAAACACTAAGGAGGCCTTAATACTGAAAGAGGCTTGTAAGGAAGATGGGGCGAGAGTTTTAACCAGGACTTGTAGTGACAGGACAAGGGATAATAGTTTTAAACTGACAGAGGGCAGGTTTACATTGGATATTAGGGAGAAATCCTTCCCTGGGAGGGTGGTGAGGCCCTGGCACAGGTTGCCCAGAGAAGCTGTGGCTGCCCCATTCCTGGAAGTGTTCAAGGCCAGGTTGGACAGGACTTGGAGCAATCTGGTCTGGTGGAAGGTGTCCCTGCCCGTGGAACAAGATGATCTTTAAGGTCCCTTCCAATCCAAACCATTCCATGATTCTCTGACATTATAAAGAATTTCAGTTTAAACTTCTTCCATAAGCAATGAGCTGGTGCCTCCAATGAAGTTCAACTCATCAAGTTGATTCAAATTCTCCCCAGTTTAAAAGCCCATCTCTAAATTCTGAGATTGAGAGCAGGAAAAATAGAGGTTCATGGTTGAGATCAAGAAAAAAAATAGGTATCTTTAAGCCACTTTCCCACTTGATTCTTACTGAAATTAGCTTTGCCCAGCTCCTGAATTTTTATGCCTGAAGACACACACGGACGGTCTGTGCTGAGTCCTGGCAGCAGTTGGGTGGTGAAGAGGTTCCCTTTGAGAGTTGCCAGTTTTTACCCATGCAGATATGCTTCAAGCCAGTGCTCCCCAGAATCCTTCAGGGAACTGCAGGAACAGAAGTTCAATAAACCATTTATGAAGAGACTATTCAGTTTTCTGGGAAGCAAATTGCAGTTAAAGGAATAATTGGAAAAAAATGGATTTTAAAGTGCATGGATATCTCATAGCAAAGTCTGACTACTGGGAATGAGTAGAGAGGATTTAAGGAAGAGGGAAAAAAAAATCTTTCAAATTGCCTGTAGAAAAATCTAAATAAACTACAGGTTTGATCATGGTCGCTGACTTGCAGCGGTTCCCTGTATCCTTCCCTTACATGACATTAGACTGCAAAACTATCTTGTTAATGGATACTTACTGCAAAATATCTACAAAGGCTGTCAGTAAAGTCTTGGTTTTATATTCAATGCCGTGCTTATCACAAAGGCTTTTCACTAGAGGAGCTACTTTCCAGTAGTTGTGTCGAGGCATTGTGGGGAACAGGCTGCAGAATGGGATGAGACAGAGTTATTGTAAGACTTGGCTTGCACCACTTTCTGTCCTCCCTGATCAAAATATTCCCCTGCCCTCCCCCAGAAGGAGAGCAAAATGTCTCCTGAGATGGCTTATTCCTGGAAACAAAGAATAGTTTGGATGGGAAGAGACCTTAAATATCATCCGATTCCACCAGATCCTTTAAGGTCCCTTCCATCCCAAACCATTCTAGGATTCCACAGTTCTAAATGCCCCATATTATTCCCACTCTTATGCCCAAAATTATACTCACTGGTGCTCAATTTGGAAGTTCAAGTGCCCAGTGAACCAGTCATTGAACAAAGATTGCTCCACGTTGCATGTTGCATGGAGCTGGGAGGGAAAAAGACCCCAAAATACATGATTTAGGTTTTATTTTCCTGCAAGTCTGATGTTTGAACCCCAGCAATCATTGCCCACCCTCATCTTGCATAAAAGAAAAGTCAGGAATTACAGCCATCATTACCCTGAGGAATTAAATAAAGTCTAGACTAGCCAGGTTGAGTCTTTTTCCCTTAATAAAAGGGAAAATGCTTAGAACACACTACATGGGATTATGTTGCTGGAGGCATTATATATGTGAGTAAAGTTGTATTTACATATTTATTTTTATCAGATTTTACCAAATTTTGTCAGATTTATCTTATCTGCAATAAACCTGCAACCTGTAGGGTAAAAATAAAGGGATCCAATCCCACTTTGCTTCCTTTAGTTGGCCTAAAAGGGAGATTGACTGTTTCACCATCAATACTTTTCTGTAATAGGAAGGAAAAAGTACTGCAAAAAATATATCAACACCTTTCAGTCAAAAAACCAAGACTTTTTAAATCTAGATGTCCTGTTTTCCAACTAAAGCTTTAAAAGGTTTGATTATTACAGAAAGGATGTTGTCTTTGTCCTATGATTCAGAAGTGTAGACCCAGTATACCAGAAGAAAGGAGCTTCTCACCTGAGTAGACACCCAGTCTTTGTTCTGATCATAACCAATGTCCATTGGAATGTGGTTCATCTGTGACACCCAAATAAACCAGGTGCTCTCAAAGTACCTGGACAGATAAACAGGGAAACACTTGTTACATCTCCAGTGTCGTCCAAATTTACCATTAAAACACATTGCCGAGTCTCTTAGTCTTATCTAAAAGAGCACTTTTATGTAATTCAGGATTTCCTATTCCTAAATTTTAGAGTGTAAGAACCACTCAACTTGTAGTTGAAGGTGTCCCTGAGCAGTGACCACCACCCTGAAGTTAAACTGTTCCTTCTTGACTATTTATTGCTGAGAAAATTGTAGTGACTGGGACTAATTTTAATTTATTTCAGTATTGATTACATATATTAGTCTTGGAGACTCCAGATGTTCTGTGTGTTACCTGGACAGCCAGTAGTATATCATGAAGTTCTTAAATCCCATTAAAGGAATATACATGAGGGAAACTCGGATGGTGAAAGACACAAGCAATATCAGGTCCTGTAAAAAAAATAACCCAAACCAAGATGAAAATCAGCCTTTGTTGATGAAATCCCTCCACTCCATCCTCTCCCCTTTACTTGAACTGCAGCTAAAAACTGTTCTGATGTATGGATTTCTTATTGATTTATCAAGAGGAAGCTCCACACCACCATTCTACAGCAAGTTGAGTGTATCCCTAAAATATTCCCACAGCACTCACTTAATAACTGCAGACAACAGCCCTGTCATCACACTCTGTCTACATTTGAGTTTTCTCTTAACTTTTATTTATCTGCTAGAAGATTGAAAAGCCTTTTCTAAACAATTCTTCCTTGCTGCAGCAAACCCAGAATCAGCCTTTGCTATCTTAAACCTCCCAAACGGAGGTAAATATTAATATAGTCACAGTATTTGGGTTTCCCAGATGCTGAAGCTGTGCTTACCAACCACTTTTTCCTCTTGATTGTAAAGTGGAATATAGTCAGCTGGAAGAAGGGGATGAGTGCAAGTGGGGCCAACACTGAAGGAAAGAATGGAAAGAGAGAGGCATTTATAATTTCACTGCATCATAGCTCTTACAGAATAGTCTACTGTGAGAACAATGATTCTTCTTTCCAGCGGAAGAAAAATTGCTGTCTTCCATTTACACCAACTTTCATGCATTCACAAAATCTCTTAGTCTTTTTTTCTCATCACTTTTTCATTTCTTTCCCATCCCTTTCTTCCCTCTACTTGACTCACGCTCATCTAATACTTCCATCACATAACCCTTGCAGAGACACAGGGGCAATTCCTCCTCAAGTGGACCTTCTTGAACATGAAGGAAGCTTTCTGAAGGTGTCACTTCAATCTTAAAAACACCTTTATTCTGGGGAGGAGATGCACTCCTAATTTAGCAGATACTCACAGAAGAAATACTTATGCTGGTAATTGTAAGGCATGAACTTCTTCTTCTTCTTTCCAAGCTGAAAAATGAAAAGATATTGTAATGAGCCAGTGAGAGACTATACAAATATGCTCCAAAAAAATGCTTACAAATAATTTGCATTTTGTAGGAGAATGAAATTCAATCTAATCAATTCACCATGGAGTGCTGAGGCTATTGGCGCTTGGAGAGGAACAGGTTGTTAACATGGAAACTCAGTCATTAAGCTGGGGGGTTCCAACTTTGGAGATTGGAACTAGCTGATCTTTAAGGTCCCTTCCATCCTAAACCATTCTAGGATTCTATGAGCAGGATGTGTTTGCTGTGGAAGCTACATCTGAACTTCTGTATCCCAAATTTCTGAGTAATAGAGGAGAGGGTGGTCAGATATGACATAATTTGGAAGCTGTCCTATAATGTCTCTAAAATAACTTCTGCAAGATCAAGGTACTGAATGTTCTATAAATAAATCTGCCTTCTTGTTTTGTCAAATACTTTGTCTTCAATTACAGAAATATGTACACCTCAAAGATGTCTTCCCTGGATCAAAACCGAAACAACAAAGGAAGCAGACAAACAAAGCCCCTGAAATCCATTTTGCCTGGCCATGGTGTGTGGTATTTTGTAATTCTCACTAGAGAAGCCTTTCTGAGACAGCAGAGCTGGAATTTTCCATGTGCCTTGGAGAGCTGTAGTTTCTTTGCTTATTACTAGCTAAAGGAGAGAAAGAGGCTTTATTTTAAGAAGCTGATTACCTTGCAATAAAGTAATTTCATCACCCCATGAGTAAATAGAATTAGTAGGAAAACAAAAGGCAAATGAGACCTTGATGATATCAGGAATCATAATGGTGCAGGGAGGATGTATTCCTAGTTTTTCTTTTTGTGAAAGCCATACAATTTTGGGTTAAGAAATCATCTGCACTCGTGTTTGGTGCATGGCAGCAATACTGGTCCTGAAGGATTTAGGTGCCAAACAGCCAGAAGGACCCAGAGGGAACGTCTGACTCACTAATTACTGACTAATAACATGTAACATTAATGTAGATGCACTGACTCACCCTCTGAGCTGCCTCCAAGATGCTCACCCTTCCTTAAGCACTGATTGCAAGACTTGGGTTCTCAGGAGCTGGTGCCTCAGCATCATAATAACCAGGCAGTACATGAGACTCTTGGACCTTGGAACACTTTGGGAATTATCAGAGAATCCTGAATGGCTTGTGTTGGAAGGGACCTTAAAGATCACCTAATTCCAAGGCACAATCTGGATGATTATTATTATCCCTCCCTCTATAGATTTCTGCCATTAAATCTGCTTTTCCAGACATCCCCATGCTCACCTCCACAGAAAGTGTCTTTCCCAGGCTGAAGAGGATGGGGTGCATGTTGAGGTCAGGGTCTTTACGGAAGCAGTTGGGTTTGGCGTGGTGCTGGTTGTGCAGGTGGTTCCACCAGCTGGCAGGTAAGCCCTGGAAAAAGGGAACACCAGGGATTCAAACCAGAACGATATCAACGATCACATTGCTATTTATCCACCTGTTATTGACAGCTTGCACTGCAATTCCCTCCCAGTTGATACTGCCTGGATATAGGGACACTCCAATCCATTGCTTTGTCCCCATTAACCCCAGAGAATATTCCCACCATGAGCCAACTACCTTCAGAACATTTATCACCACCATCTGCAGCACCCGATTCCATCTGGGCTTCCTGAAGACAGAGCAGTGCCCCAGATCATGCTGGAACCAGCCCATCTGGATCTGGAAGACCAAAGGGTCAATGAAGAAACAGAATCTTGGCAGCATTGCAATAATTTGCCTTGTAATAATAATTTGCCTCCGTAACTTCATAGTGTGATGCATCTTCCTTCTGCTTTGGGGAAACAACACTCCCTGATGTCTTGCATGTTCAGTGCTGAGAACTTCCAATCAAGCTACTGTCCACTAAAGCTGCTCAATTCCAGATATTGACTTTAGCTGGAATATAGGGAAATCAGCAAAGCATCACAACAATTAACTGTTACAGCATAGAAGTCTGTTTGCTCCTATCACAAATAATGAATTTCCAAGTAACCAGCTAGAAAGTGGAAGAACTTCCAAGTCTACAGCGTTATTGCATTCCATGTTCCCATGGAAATATGAGTGCTCTTTGAGGAATATCCACTTTAACAGATAATAGGCAAGTAGAACAGATCATGTAAATGAGTTCATTTGCATTGGTTCTATGGATGTCTGAGCAAATTTAAACTTTCAGCTCTACTAAGAAAATCTTTCTTCTTCCCCTCACCCTAAATTTATCGCATCTAAGGGCCACAAAGTCCTATTCCCTCCTTCCCTGCATGGATCCTGCCCTTCTATGGTTGAATTTACTAATCCAGCAGAAAACTATTCAGGGTTAGTGAGGGAAAGTGGCTCATAAAGGACAAAACAAACATCAGACAGAAGGAACAGGGAGCCAAAAGTGCAGCTGAGAATGAAATATTCCCTCTTTTGTGATTAGATCAGCAAATCCCATCTTGTGAAACAGCCAGTTCCACAACATCCCACCAACTCCTGGGTTGTCAGCAAAACCAGATTTGCTGGAGGCAACAAAAATTGTGACGTAGAACGTGCTTGTTGTCTTCAGGCAGGTAACAGGACCTGAGGAGAGGCAGTGGAGCAATGCCTGGGATGTGAACATTCCATGAATCCTCTCCATCTGGAGGAACCAAACATGTCTGCAGGGCTGAGCAGCTGTCAGCACTTTACCTGAGCAACGGTGAAGAACGCCATGCCAGCCAGGAAAGGCACTAAGGAGATGCCAAAGTACCAGATCACGAGCCAGGATGCAGCATCCAGTACCAGGACGTGAAGGAAAACCAGGAAGAAGAAGTAGTAGTTTGGCCTCAGAAGTCCCATCTTCTCAACAGTGCAGCGCAGCTCACGAAAATCCTCCAGGAGGGATTTCTGGGGGTAAAGTTAAAATTAATGCACTATTTACTTTGAAAATGTAACACAGTAGACTCAGAAATCCCAAAGCAGCCATGGGAGTCAGAGGAGATATTCTCTCAGAGGGAACTCTGCAAAACCAGGCATGAGATCAACAGGTCTTGCTTTTGCTTTGATACTGAGACATCATAGTGGGGAGAACTGAGCAGAATTTGGGGCTCTGAAGCTCATTCCTCGCACCCAGGGGAGGATTTAGTGATCCTGAGATGGTCATGTTTCCATGCCTGACTAGCACCGGTTGCCTCCCCACTCCCTAGCCCATGGCACGGCGTCAGGTGTGCTCCTTCAGACAGGATTCCTGCTCCCTCTCTTATTTTCCTTCTCCTCCCAGGCTGAACCCCAAGCCGTTCCCAGCTCTGGAATCTGGGACACTCACCTTTTTATTGGACTCAAAGCTGGGTTGATCTGGTGCCAGCTCCCCAATCAGCAGAGATCTCAAGTACTTTTTCACCAGAGACTTATCGTTGTGAAAAGCTACAAAGGCATCCTGAGAAACACAAAGGGAGGGAGTGAGAAAGGGCACGTGACTAAATCCCAGACGCTGAACCTCTCCTTTCCTCAAGTCTTTGATATAACACGTAATCCAGTTCCCATTGTCCAGAACCCTTTGGGTTCCTCTTTACCACCTACTGGAGCTCGGCCCAAGGATGCTGGAGAAGTTTCAAGAAACCAGATTTCATAAAAGGCCCTGGGCGAGGCTAGTAATGAACATGAAAGGGTTTGATGAAAAACTCTTTGCAGAGGGAAACATGTTCTTTCATCTGCTTGTTTCAGCACAGTCTGTCCCTAGAAGGCTCCAGCCAGCAGCCCTTCCCTATGGATGGGACCCAGGTGTGGGAGAACACATCAGGGAATGGGATGTGTCTTTGCCATGCTTGGGATGAGGCTTTTAAAATCCTGTTTGTAACCCACTAGGGCCAAAGGGAACATGTGCTGAAGTTTCTTACACAGCAGGAGTGCACTTCCCTGCAAGTTTTCAGGCTGGATGATATTTTGGGGAAGTAGGTAACAGTAGTGACACAAATGGGTCCATTCAAGAAGCATTTGAAATCCCAGTTTTAAAATCAAAGACAAGCAATGGAATAAAGGGCGAAATTCCAGGTAAATCAAAACTCTTCTTTAGCTCAGTGAATTTTCCAGAAGTAAGATAAAAAGACTGACCATGCTCTATTTAGGTCCAGAAAGAGTAGATATGGCAAAATCCTCAGTGTTTGAGCAGTCAGGTACTTGCTGATTTTGGGTGTGAGAAACAACGTGGGTGATTATGACCCAAAAAAATTCTGCATGTGCCTGGTCAGGACCAAGTCCCTGGAAAAGGACAGGGGACTTCCTTGCAGTCTGACATTGCTCTGGAGCCTTTTGGCTGGAGAACTGGAGACAGTCTTTCTCTGAGTACTTTAGTCCAGAAATACTCAGAACAAGGTGATTTTTTTGACATTTGAGCTTTTTACAGACATCCACTGACCCTTTGTCACAGTGACAACTGAATAACTCTGTCCAGACCCAGAGGACTGGGGAAATCTCTCTATCCTAATTCTGTGCCCCTCATACATTCTTATATATCTCCCTCCTGCCAGGAATCTGATTCAATCCATAAGTGTCTATATTGCAGCTTGGAAACAGGAGCCACAATGCCTTCAAGCAGGAATCCCTCTCCACAAGATCAGTATCACAGATTCTTATCACTGAAAGCCCCTCAGTCCTGCCTGTCACTTCTCCTCCCTCCTCTCAGGTCCTGATAATCATCTTAAGAGAGATTAACTTTAAGATTTATCACCTGCAACACACACAACTCCCAACATTTAACATCAGTGCAATGTTCTTGTTGACATTTTCAAATTAATCCACACAGAAGAAGAAAATTCTCACTGTATATATACAATTATGAGGTCTAGAGTAGTCAAGAGTACTTGAAAAAAAATCCTGGATCCTGGTTTTAGGTAAAGTCCTGCCCCAGCAATTTTTTGAGACACCTTCCAGTCCTGCATTTCTGTAAAAGTGTGTTTTTTCTCAGAATATATGAACAGAGCAGCATTTTAAAAGCAAAAAAAATTATACAGATTAGCAGAATACAAATTGAGAGCAAGACAGAAGGATATTGTTGTGATGCAACACAAATCCACACTGTACCCACAATTCTGGCTACTAGTTGTGGTCCTGTGCTCAAAGGGATGTAGCACAGCTACAGGTTGGAAAAGACCTTTAAGAGCAAGTAAAATTAGGTTGTAATTATTGGAATAATAAAAGCAGGCAGGATCAAAGGTCATCCTTTAAACATATTCACCCCAGACAAATTCACTGTGCTTAAAGCCCCTGGGTGTCCATAAATAAAATAATCTAAATGCAGGTCCTTACACTGCAGGAGCTGGGAGGACATTGCTTGGGGCCAAATAATTCCATGCATTCTGTATTCCTTGAATCCTTTTGTAAAAGTCCAGTAACAGAACCTGCAGGAGGTGGCACCAGGATCTCTAGACTGGCCTGGCATGGCTGGTCTAAGTTCTTAAGTCACTGAGGTAGAGGAGAAAGCCAGCGAGACTCAAACCTTTCTTTTCCTTCCTTTGAGAACACAAGATATTTTTCTGCCCCACTTTCAAGCATGGAAACATTCAATTCAAGGAGTGAAATGTGAAAAATAACTGATCTGGTTCATTCTGGGCCAGGACTGGGGAAGTGTTATCCCATTTCAAACTGAAACCTGAGAGATTAGACTGGCTAAAGAGCTTCCTTCAAGTCAAAAAGTCTTGTTGAGACAAGAATTAAATCTCCCACATCACAAGCTTATGCCTGAAACTTGGCCATGTTTTTAATGCTCATATTTCTGACTATTCAGATATTTAATATCTCCTTTCAGCAGAGAGATCTGCTTCGAATTCATTATTTCTGTCAACGAGCAACACAATTATTTCAGAGAAATCCACTAAATCAACAAATTTTTGCAGGAGATCTGTTTTCAAATATATTTGTGGAAGTTTTCCTTGTCTCCTGCAGCCATTGTGCCTCTTTCTCAGCCCACTCTTTGGCCAAGCACAGTGACAACCAGCACGTCCTCCTGCCCTGGCACTGGAACCACCTTCCTGCTCTGTCCTCCTGGGTCTTACCGTGGCATCTTGCCCAGCATAGTGGCTGATAACTCTGCTGCCTCCAGGGTGCTTCTTGGAAAACCTGCTGACATCATAGACCTTCCTGTCGATGACCAGCCACTGCTCCTGGCTCTCCCCACGGCCATTGTGCATCCTGACCTCTTCCCAAGTGAAAGGCTGCGGGAAGGCCGGAATGGGACTCGTCCCCTTCTCGCTGGAGCCTGTCTGAGGAGGCATCTGTGCACTCAGAGCCGGGATCCACCAGGCTGAGCCTTGCTCTGTGTCCAGGCTGAGGGTGGACCATCCCATCCTGCCCGTTATACAGCCTCACTCCAAGCCACTCCCTTGTGCTCCAAGGGCTGGTTGGCTCTCCTTGCCCAAACACACCCTTCCAAAGTGCCCTCCCCTTCCAGATGCTTTACACACCCATAAATAAAAGCCCTGTTCCTTCTTGTGCTTTCTGAGTTGCCTTTAGAAAGTCTGATTACTCATGAGAGTTGTGGACTGCTCTACTGAACACAAACAGGAATAAACAGACAAAATTAGGATTATCTGTTGTCTCTAAATGGCCTCATCACACTGCCCAAAATCTTCAGGTTGTCCATCTTTGAAATTTTCTGTGTTGACCCTGGCATGGTAAATTCATGTGTCTTTCTTAACTAAAATAATCAAAATGCTATCAAATCGGAGTAAAGATGGTAAAGATTCAGAGTAAAAAAAGAACACAATTAGGAAAACATCCTTTATTTCCAGTTAATTTGGCTTGTTCATTGTATACTTCGCATACAGCTGTGAAAACAGAGTTTTCTGTATATTCTTGACTCATTCAATCATCTAATTGTTCAAGTAATTAATTCATAAGTCTATAGCATTAGAATGTTTTGGAATTAGGAGTAATAATAATAATAACAATAATGACTGTTAGCACCAAATTTGGCTGTAGATTCAGAGTTCCTAAAGCTATGTTTAAAGGCAACGTTGACATAATTAACCTCACTTAAACATTGCTCCTGAAGAGACAAAATCTGAGCATCTCTGATGTTGAGAAGATCTGCTATGAGTACAGAGGTGAAGAGTTCTCAGCTGTAACAAATAGCAGAGAGAAGAAGGCAATGCCAAGCTTCCTATGCACCCACATCAGTTTTGCCCATGACCCAGAAAAAACTAAGCCCTAGGAAATACTGCCCTACTTGAGATTTAGGATTCTTTTATTCCAAAATTATGAGCCCTGAGTGCTTTTGAGGAAGGTACAAGCAGCAGGCTGATATGGTACAGTCTGTTCCCACAGATTTGAGTTAAATCAAAAATCATGAGTTTTCCCCCTTTTTATTTACACTTATGAATTTATTATGTCTGTAACCCCAAATATTGCCTACAATGATGCCTAATCCTTGCCTGAAATCTGACCAGTTCCAGGCCTCAACTACCTCTTGTGACAGTGAGTTTCACAGACAATTCACACACTGTGATCCAGAGAAAGGAGGGAATTGTGTGAGCTCCCAGTTCTGAGAAGGACTGAGAACACTCAGCTGAAGTTGCAGACCTCAGGCAGGACAGAAAGATAAAGAAAGACAAAGAAAGTTCGGAAAGCCAAAGGCACTTCAGCAGGATGAGTTGTTTTCCCTGTCTCCCAAGCAGATGGCAAGGAGGAGGCCTGATCGAAGTAGAGATGATCTGATATCCCTCTCATGAGGTGAAAAGTACCATTTGATTTTCGTAAAATAACTTTATTTTCAAGAGTTTGTCCCTGAGTGACTCTGGAATGGAGCTCACAGGATATTCGTGCTGTAAGAGACAATGAAGCTTCTCAGTTTTTCACTCTGTACCAGTCTCAGACTGCAAACACAGTGACAAATATGAAGTCCTGGTTTTTGTGTTCCCCAGTGAATTAATAACAGCCCAAAAGCAGTTGGATAGAGACAGCTGAAATTCCACAGAGCAGACACCTGCCTTACCCTTAGCCCTGCATGGAGCGAGCAGTTTTCTGACTGCCACAGAATCCTAACTTACGCAATTCTAATTCTTTAAATCATGTAGCATCTTGTGAATTAATAAGTCAAGCCCAAAACAGCTGTGTAGAAGTTCCTGACATATGGCAATGGTTGAACCACCCAAAGTAAAAGAGAAATGGGACCGTTGGTATTCGTCAGAAGACAGTGATAAAAGAATGGGAGGAACAATTTCTACTCTGCTGTCACATTGCATTTTGTAACTCTTTATCTTGCTCTAAATAAAAGTTGAGAGTGTCCACGCCAATGATGTGTTCATGTTCTATTGTATATGTGTGGAGTCTTACCTAAATCATGTTTAGTACTTGAGGTGCTGAAAATAAAACGTGCAATAGTTTGCGCAATTTTCCACATATGTGGTTTTTATAGACATGTGAAAATACCAAGTTACTCCACAGCTGGCTGAAAGTACAAAAAAACCCCTTCCCATGGCCCTGTATTCAGGCTTGTAAATGCAGCAGTTACCTGAAAAGGAGAAGATAAAAATGAGGGGTTTGATTTTGGTCACAGAGCCAGGTGTGAACAAATATGGGATGTCTCTGTCTATAAACACAGTCAGCTGTGATTTCACTGTTAACACACACTGTGGGTGCCAGTACCCACCAAACTGTTGCTAATTAGATGAATTAAGTTTGGGAACTTTAAGATATTTTTTCTCTGTATTAACAGTGTGCATAATATTTAATGCCTGAATTTATTTTCCATCAGCTCCCATCCAGAGGGTCCTGCAATGCCCATTGATATTCCATCACATTAAATCCCCTCCCAGTCTGAAAGCAGAAGCTCTGTCTATGTTATCCAAGTCACCAAACAGATTTCAGAGCTGCATGGAAAAGCCCAGAGAGTGAAAGCCACAGCCATGCTCACTCAGATAAACTATTGGGAAATCTGTCAAAGTGAATTTACACCACACTCAGTGTTCTGCAACAACTACCCACAGACCTGCCAAAATCTGTGTCGTGTGCTCCTGGGAGCTGGTACATGTGCTCAGAGCTGTTCTCTTGTGACTAAGAAACTCCTTGCCCAGGGACTTGACATGGTTTCCCAGATTTCCAGAAAGACAGTATGTGACTCCTCAGCTGGGAGTTGTTGCATCAACACTTTTATCCCCCATAAATATTTGCCGCTTAATCCACTGCAGATACGTGGTCCAGAAATAAATCTAGTACTGAGACACCCCAAAGCATCTTGGAAGTGGTTCCGTGATTCTGTGAAGTGGTAGGACTCGATGATCTTAGAGGTCTTTTCCAACCTTAATAATTTTATGATCTCATTTCTAAGAAAATCTCCTTTTCCTTCAAGCTCTGAGGAATTTTTTCCTATAGGATACCAATTTTTTTACGGGGTTTTTTGACCACCTTTTCTACAGAAACGAAGTATTTCATGGGGCCTGTCACACGTGCTGTGACAGCACCTACCAAGTGATGTTCCTGGACAAAGCTGGATGGAGAACATCTACTTTACAAGATTTACAGTCTACCCCGAGTTGCTCAACATGAGACAGACATTTATAGGTTGCACATGTCTCCAGAGTCAGCTGTCAACAGTAGAGAGAGCTGAAAAAGCAGGACCTTGCGCTGAAGCCGTGGGACAGCATCTTGCCTTTGTGGAGAACTCATGGATGCTCTTCCCTAAAGTGGCTCCAGTCTATGGCAGGGAACTCACCTGCATCCATTCACAGGCCAGCACACAGGTCCCTGTAGATAGAGCCTGCTTTTCTTCCCGGATTTCAGGGACTATCATTCAAAACTCCCTCTTCTGTGACTATGATGTGCCTCTTCCCAAACACAGCCAGGAAATGGAAGTAGTTATAATTATTTTATCCCCAGCACAGAACTTAATGGGGAATCCATAATTCAGGACAAGGCTACGTTTGGAAAGATTTCTTCAATCTTTTCAAGAGACAAAAACTTTTGCAGCCGGTACAATTTTGTTTTGGAAAGAAAAAAAGATAAATCCAGTAATTGCTTGATGAGAACATTAGAAGATACCATATCAGTCAGGAGGAGAAAAGGACTGGGTTTTCTTTTTTTTTTTAGCATATTCTACATTAAGAGACACAACCCCGTATCTCAGATGGGGTTACTTATCAGGAATACCATGTAATTTCAGAGATGGGAAGAAAAATCAAGGAGTTTTTTGTAGACAGTCATGTTTGCAATGAATGTTTGCTTCTCTTCCCTGCCTTGAGGGGTTTAATTTGCTCAGATATTCAAAGTCTTTATTAATTTTTTTTCATTCCTTAATCCAGATTTCAGTAGTAAGTTAACACATGGTTTTTTCCTCTATATCCTTTGCAAAACAGAAAAAACCATCTGTGAAATACCACGTTTTCCCTCTCAGTTTTGGGTTACATTTTATGGCTGAACAATAAAACCCCAAAATGAGTGCCTTGTTAATTATAATGACGTCTAAAAATAGGTTCTGTAATAAGCCTTCTCACCCAAAACTCCCCACAGAACAATAATTTGCATTAAGACACATATTATGTAATTTTTTTGTACTTCTGAGCAAGTTCCTAAAGTCCCTACCCAGGAGATGCTGCAATGCTGTACAATGAGATGTAAAGCCTGACAGGATTTGCTATTGTAATTCTGATGTGACCTTCTCTCACACACACCAGCTGTAGTTACACCCCCCAAATTCTTTTCAAACAAGGGTGATATCAATCTCTTCATCAATCACCATGTACTTTTCTGGTTTATGTTTCTTATTTAACCTGCAATTCGAATTAAATATGAAATATGAATATACTCTTTCCATCATTCAAATTCATGGAAGCCAGAACTCCATGGGCTCTTCTGTGGCTTTAAGATCTAAATTCAGCTGATCTAAAATGGTATATTCTAAATTTAACAGCTTATAAAAAGGCTCTCTCTCAAGTGCACAGGTAGCATTATATATTATTAAAAAGAAAAATAAGACACAGCATAATTCAAGATCAAATTGCTAAATGAATGTAACAAACCCATTTTGTTTTCCCACTGTTGTACATTTGGGTAGCGTTTTTATAGCTTTTTTAGCATTTATATTTTATAGCATTTTCTGTGCTCAGTGCAGAGCTCCCACTACTTGCAGACACACTTCTGAATATTCTGCTCATCCACAGAAGGAAAAACCCTCCAAAAGGTGACTCTGCTTGAAAGTTTGTTTTAATTCTTGACTTGTGCAACACTAGTTAGGAACAAAGTGACATAAGCAATGATTAAGACACCCACAGCCTACACACAGAACACCTTCCTTTGTCTGTCCTTCCTATGGGTCCTGGGCCACCTTCCAACCTCTGCAATATGTGCAGCGGGGATCCTGCAACAACTTGCCTCCTGTTCTATTTGACCAGAATTCAATTCCCAAGCCTTCATCATCTGCCTCTGTCTTCCTCAGACACATGTTGTGCTGTATATTCCGTGCATTTTGACTCTGAGATGTCCATCATCCTTAAACTTCTACATCCTACCCTGCCCACAAGGACATCAGTCATATTTTTCCTCTACATGGCTGAAGGGGCTTTTGCTACTTACTTTAATTCCTTTTGAAGTTTAATTTTTCTTTGACACTATTGCAATTCCTAATTGCAGTTCCATGACCTTTTCACTACTCTTTTTATTCGCAGTCTGTCTCACAGATTGTTCCTCATCAATCCAAGATGCTCTTGTGAGTTTGTTTCTCCCCTCCTTGCAAGGAATGCAAGTCCCATAAACTTTATATACTCCTTATATGGAGTTTATATAAGAATCCTCACATGGCTTCACAGGCCTTCAGCATCATTTCAAGGGACAAAGGATATTCCAGAGCTGTACATGAATGTCTGGTTGATAAAGGAAAATACTCAAGCACCAGGCCGACACCTACAACGCTTGTAAGCATCCTTGTAACTCTCCAGCTTGGAGTAAGTACATGGAAGTTACACCCCATTCCTGTCCTATTAGATATTGGGAAGAAATGAGGGTGGGGAGGCTCTGGCACAGGTTGCCCAGAGAAGTTGAGGCTGCACCATCCCTGGAAGTGGTCAAGGCTCTAAAGTGCTTGGAGTAACCCAGTCTAGTGGAAGGTGTTGTGGAACAAGATGGTTTGTAAGGCCCCTTCCAACCCAAACCATTCCATGATTCCATGATTATTAGGCAGACATTGTCTAGGCAATCTAGAGACCATTATCCAGACTGTTATGCTCTGGTGGTCTAGTGGTTAGAGTGTCTGACTCTCACCGCTGCGACCCGGGTTCGATTCCCGGCCCCCTGGGCAGGTGGAGCTCGTCAGCCGTGGAAGGCAATCCACCTAAGAGAAGGTCACTCTAAAAACAAACCTACATCCTGGGGACCTCACTGCCACTGTCCAAGCTTTGCTCGGCCCCGGCAGATGAACCTCAGGACTAAAGGGAAAAATCCACTGCGCAGGCTGGAAGGGTTAATGACCTTTCCCAAATCTTCGCTCGCGAAGACTGGCCATTATATATTATGTTTTATTTATTCCTTTATTTTTGGTAATTTGGAATATTTGCTCCAGACAGAAATATTTTAGCTTTCTAGTTTCTAATGAAGTCACAGGTTCCTGATCTTCCACTTGGATGAGGGGAGAAGAGAGAAGAGAGAAAAGAAAAATGTCAAAATGACTAAGACATAATCTGAGCTCATTGGCAGCATCTTCATTCACCTTTTATTTTACTTGGGCAACATTCAACTTTTCTTACTTCATCTTGTTTCTTTTTCACAACTGATTGTGAGATGATCCTGAAGAGGAACTCAGACTCACTTGTTAGAACATTGGCATCTCTTCTTGCCAGAAGAAGTTATCTTTCTATCTGGGTCTGCAGCTAAATGGTTGTTTTAAAGGCACTCGTGCATCCCAAAAGGTGGATTATGCAGGATGTGACCCAATTAGGATAATTCTGCCCACAGGACTGTCCTAATCTCTTTCTGAGTCAAAGCAAACAACTGCTACAGTTTACAAGGAGTCATCTGCTATAAAATTAAATTATTCTTGAATTTTGATATTTTGATATTTCCCTTAGTGGATAATCTATCCCTGCTCTTGGGCAATTAACCTTGGCACTAGGAATTTACACCTCCTGTACATCTTGAACTGGTATTGATTCACACTTCAGCTGCTATTTCTTTATCACTGACAGATTGAAGTACTGTCTGCTATAAAACTTCTCATTTTATGGTCAAATCACTGCCTCTTCCTTCATTGGGCTCAGGGAGCTCCAACAATTTCATTCTCTCACAATAAGGATCTTTCCTGAAGCTTTAGTTTTTCCTGCATCTCTTCCCTAAATCTTGATAGCAGACATATCTACACAGAATATTTTTTAGGTATTTATAACTTTGAAAGAAATTAAGCCTAACCTAGGCATAGAACAACTTAAAATATTCTCATGAGACTGCTAGACTGGCCTTACCTGATCCTACCTCTCCTCTCCAAAGCCTTAGAAGAAGGGGGAGAGAAAGTGGAAAAAAAGACAGGCTTGGCAGGAGAGGTGAAACAGCGAAAAAACCAGCCCCAGAAAGGAAATCCAAAAGGGAAAGAGCATCACAAAAAATATTCTGCTATCACAAAAAATTATGCTGCTAAGAGCATCCTGTTTTAACAGGGGAAGCATGAGACTGCTCCTGCTCACATGCTTGGCTATCAAGTAGGTTTTTGAGCACTGGACAAGTTAAAAATCAACTTAAAACCAGTGTTGTGGAGCAATTTTCATTCTATTTTTATTGGCACAAACACTGAACCTCCATTTTATGCATTAACAGCAATAAGTTCCCATTCAAGGCACGGTGACCATGGTTCAGAGGATGGAGAGAGATGTTTCTTGGGGTGGGCAAAAATCAAAAAGCCGGGTTTGTTCTGGAGACCAAATCAAGGCAGACTACTATGGATCAGTCAGACTTTTGGAATTTTTACCTAAAGAACATAATTCTAACCAGCATTTCATATAAACTGTCATCACTGTATTACTTCTATTGCTGTTTCAAAACTGTGTGGAAATTCCTCCCCATTTTCCAAACACTTAATCCCAGTCTCTGTAGAAGATGCAAATCACAGAGAAACCAAGTTCATGTCAATGAACTCTCTTCCAGTGTCATGTCAATCCTCTTCCTCTCCCACCCATGAGTAGTGTTGCATTACTACCTCACCTGTTAAGAAATCCCTTTATACTCCTTATAAAAGAACTATCTTGGGAAGTAACAAATCCTCCTGTTTCCAGGGGTTCAGCTGCATCCATTATCTATCTTGCATGGATCTACAATCATCTTCCATTCTGCTTCTTTTCTAAAGATGGAGAAAATTCCATTAACCTCTTCAGGAATTTGGGATAATGGAAGCAAACACACACACACAGAAGCTGGGCAAGGATTGCAAATCCACCCCATGAACAAATCAAAAGGAGTGGGTGTTGGGAAGGGGAAACTAGTGTTTTCCTCTTCAATTACCCCATCACCCTTAACTATTTGAACATTTTTGTAAGTCCAGTTACTCCATTGTTGCAAATGTCTCTCTCTGATTTGAAGAGAGTGATTTAGTCCAGGTTGGAGCCACCTCTTTGTCCGACAACACTCCACTTAACTGGAAAATCTTTGAAGCCTGATGAACATCTGATTACTGTTTTTAAGAGACCCCATGTAAGTGCCTGATGGATTTTTTCTTCTTTGAACGTTTTTGGGGACTAAATCCTCTCCTTCCACTAGCCCAGGTTGCTCAGAGTCCCATCCAACCTGGCCTTGGACACTTCCAGGGATGGGGCAGCCACAGCTTCTCTGGGCAGCCTGTGGCAGGGCCTCACCACCCTCACAGGGAAGAATTCCTTCCAATTATCCTATCTAACCCTGTCCTCCGGCAGTGGGAAACCATTCCCCCTTGTCCTGCCCTCCACGACCTTGCCAAAAGTCTGTCCCTTTATCTGATCCTTCCCTTCTGATTCCCTGGGGAGTCCTCCTTCCCTTCTGATGCCCGACTGCCACCCTGTGGCTATTCCACAACATTCAGGTTCCACTTTTAAGGCTGAACTGTGAAGCCAAAGGGTTTCCACTAAATGCCCAATTTGAGGCCAGTGTTGTTCCAAAAAGGTGTATTTCAGTGCAGGTCCAGAGAACCTGAAAGGGGTTTTGAACTTGCATTTGAATATTGTTGTAAAATGTCAGTATTATTAGCTTAAGAGTAATATGCTACTGTGGACTGTAAGGAATCCAGAGTACTCACGGAAACTGAAGTTGTCATATAAGGTATTTCTCCTCTTGAGTTGGAGAACTCTTCTTGAGCCTGGAGTGTTCTTCTTGAGCCTGGAGAACTCTCTGGAAAACTCTTCTTGAGCCTGGAGATCTTCCAGCAAAGTCAGCACATTCAGTTCTGGTTATGTTGATTCAGGTCCCCTTTCGCTCTTCCCCTTTAGGACTCTGAATCTGTGTTCTTTTTCCTGGTTATTCAGGCATTTGGTTTATTGTTTTGTGGATGTTTCCTCTTTATTGTAACAGAGAAAACACAGGAGTGTCCAAAGTCTTAGGCAGTAAAGCAGAACTTAGAGAGACCATTCTCTTCAAAACTGTCAACTCTCAGATCATCCCAGCCCAGAGAGTAGCTCAAATCTATCTCTATTTTCAAAATTAAACATCCAGGTAATGATTGTTCTGACTCTGAGCATTCAAAAACAAACCCAAGAAGCCTCAATATTGCTGAACACTCATGGCCCACTTCGGCAACAAGTGGAGTTTCTTCTGCTTACCTCTTTTGCCACACTTTTTGTCCAGTCCCTCTCCAGCTCTCTTGGTGCCCCTTTAGGCACTGGAAGGGGCTCTCAGGTCTCCCCAGAGCCTTCTCTTCTCCAGGCTGAACACTCCCAGCTCTCCCAGCCTGTGTCCAGAGCAGAGGGGCTCCAGCCCTCTGATACAAAGTCATGCAGCTTCCAGAAATCAGGAGTAGATTTGTTTTTCCTTTTCTCCTCATTTTGGAGAAAGAGGTTTATGACAGTTCTTTCTCTGCAGCTGTGGATGGGGATTTGTTCCATGTTTTAGAGAGTGCAGACATATTTTACTCTGGTGACAGCAATAATTGGTAAGATAAGGAATTTTATTATTAGTCTTTCCTCCATCAACAGTTCTAATAAAAGGGAGAGAAATGGAGCAGGGAAAAAACAAGGTAAAACAATAACTAAGGTCCATTTTATTTATGGTCTTAATCAACAGGTATTTAATGATTATTTTATTATTTCCATTACAGTTTTATCCTGTGCTTAACAACACTCTTGGCCTGGGAAGATGCATTTCTTCCATTCCTTCACAAGTCATTCTGATCTTGGATGTTGGTTGGCAAAAGCACCACATGCTCCTCAAGATCAACCCATCCCTTCTGGGTACTAATCCCTGGGGTAACAAGGTGATGGAGCATCCTCATTAGTGATGTGGCAGGTGTTATATCCTGCTTTGGCATCTCTATTGTTGGTGTGGTAAATGAAAAGACCCTGGGAAAGGCACTAAGGCTATTCCAATAAATCCCACAGCACATGTTCCCTTCTTGTGGTGTGTTTGGAAGGCACAACATCCAAGAGAGGAAGAACCAGCAACGTTTTGGCTGATATGAGCCTGTGGATACCCAGCTGACTGAAAAGTTAAACACATTTAAACAGTGGCCCATCCCCTAACACTTTCCTAATTTCATTAGATTTGTCTGCAGCTCTGACAGGAACACCTCATGCTCCCTGGGCCAGGAGTCAGGAGTTGTCTCCTCTTAACAGAGGTTTAAAAAAAACCTCCAGAACTTCAGGTGATCACAGACTGGTTATGATCACCCTTTTCATAGAATCATCACAGAATGGTTTGGATGGGAGGGGACCTTAAAAATCATGTTGTTCCATGGGCAGGGACACCTTCCACTAGACCAGGTTTCTCCAAGCTCGCTCCAATCCAGCCTTGAACACTTTTGCTTCCTTAGTCACCCCTGTAGGGATCCTGAGTATGGATGTGACATATTCCTATCTCTTCTGACTTTCACTAATGGGTTTGTAACACTCCAAAGTCTGGCACTGTGGAAACCACTTGCAGATTCCCCATGGGATGTTACCAACGGACAAATGACCCAGAGGCTTCCAAAGGAGACGCGGAGGGCAGCATTCCCACAGAATATGGCATGTGGAATAGCCTCTTTTTTCCTGTTTCTTTACCTCAGTTAGGTCCTATTCCCAGAGTACTGCTGCCTGCACCTTCTCCACCTCACCCACATATATACAAATTGGTTTGGGGGTCTCACTAACTACAAACAGGTATTTGAAAATACTAGACCTACCCAATTCCCTAGAGCTTCCATATTTCACTAACTCCCACATTCCTTGATTTCGTGCTGCCTCAGCATTCTTACACTCACAATGAGAGCCACCCCAAAAAACCTATGTTAGATAAGAAACTCCCCTCCTAAATGAAGTATCAGCAGATGGAAAGGAATCTGTTCCCTGTCTCAAAGCTGCCCCCAGCTTGGTGGAACAACTTCCTCCACTCAGCTTTTCCCCATAACTCAGCACCAAAGAGGAATGAAAGAAGCACAAGAAGAATTAAGAGCACATCTTTACAAAAATCCATCAAATTAATTACATTCATCAGTGGAATCAAGTGGTGCCACATCTCCCCACCTCTAGCTTAGCCAGCTCAGCCTCCTCTTCACGGTGACCACCACGGGAGGCAGCAAGGCTGGGGAATTCCTCTGCAGGGATCCACTGCTGCTTATTTATGTAGGTAGGCATCGAGCCAAAGTTCCCCTGAATCTTTCAAAGAGCTGCCAAGAGAGAACCACACTTCTTTAGAGACAAGAAAATTAAATACAATGTCCTTGTGGGAAGAATTTCTACCTAGAGACAAAGCAAAGGAGATCACAGAATGGTTTGGGTTGGAAGGGACCTTTAGAGGTCATTTAGTCCAACCCTCCTGCAATGAGCAGGGACATCTTTAGCTCAGGTTGCTCAGAGACCTTCAGAGACAAGGAAGTGTTGGTTACAGACCCATTGAAAAGAGGAAGAAGAAACAAACCAGTGGGGCTACATCAGACAAAGGCTGGAAGGTTAAAGCAAACAATGTAATTACTTAACTAGAATGAAAATAAAAGGAGCAAGTGTGAATTTTTGATGGAATAACAAATACCTAGGGGCAAGGAGGGGAAGAAAGGAATAAAAAACCAAAGAATGGATGACAGTTAAAACTCATCTTTATGGAAACATCGCTTTTCCCTGGAGACTCTAGAGGTACCAGACCTGGCATCCTCTGCACCTCTGACTTCAGAGCTGAAGGAAAAGGAGCTCTGCATTGGGTCATTCCCACGGACACCTTCTGTCTGCTGTGACAGAAACCAGTGCTGTGGCTGCACAGTTTTCCCATTCTTTTCATAGTCATCTATACCACCTACTCTTCTGTGAGCCAAGCTGACCCCTCCCCTGGCCTGTCTGTCCCATTTTCCCTCCATAATACTGGAAAACCCTTCACTTGGGGACACAGTGGATGGATACTTACTGCACAATGTCTGCAAAGGCCGTGAGCAGGGGCTTGCACTGGTACTCAATGCCATGTTTGGCACACAGGGACTTCACCAGAGGGGCCACCTTCCAGTAGTTGTGTCTTGGCATTGTAGGAAAAAGGCTGCAGGAAAACAAGAGTGGGATTCAATGGCATTTGTCATCACCTTACAGAATTCCTGGCCCTCTTCTGTGCTTCTAACCCTTGGAGTGCCCCAACCTCCATTTGTGTCACAGCCATCAGTGCTTTGCAATGGTCCCTCTCGTGCCACTGATAATTCCCACCCCTGTGCCTTGCACCTCTTATCTGAGGCCATGGTGGTGCTCACTGGTGCTCCAAAAATCTTCTGTGTTCCCATTCCATCCCCATACAAAGAACACAAGATTTCCCCATATTATCTTTTCTATCAGCCTTGTAGGCTCTTCAGCCTTAGTGTAACTAGCATTCCTGGAAACTCCCTGGCATTCCCAACCCATGTTTCAACTCACTGGTGCTCGATTTGGAAGTTCAGATGTCCGCTGAACCAGTCATTGAAAAAGGACTGATGAACATTACAGGTTGCCTGGAGCTGAGGGAAAAGAAAAAAAAAAAGTAATATTTTAAGTGCTATTTTAGGAATGCCCCTTCTCAAACCCAACAGCAAGCAGGTACAGGTTTCTCATCATCATGGGAATTCTGGCTGAACACAGCAGCTATAAGAGTTCTTTCCAGTCCACAAGAGATGGCCAAGCTGAGATATGTGATTGTCAGGGACTTAAGAGCACAGATTTGACTTCCCCAGTGAGATGAGCCACAACAACCCCGACTTTCACCTCTCTAATTTAAAAAAATTTGTAATGACTTCAGAACTAAAATAAAACAAAGCACAAAAGAGATCTGGACCATCCTTCCACTGTCTGAAGGGCATTGTAGCATCTTTAATTATTCCTCTTGAGACTCCTGTGCTCAGCATTTGAAGTGTCAATCACTTCTGCACCTCTTTCCTGGCACTGATCACACCACACAGTGAGGACAAGCTGCTTGTGTTTCCCTCTCTCAGTTCCCACCACTTCAGTGATCAGCTCCCTTGGGCTTTACATACCCAGAAGTGTAACTTCTCCCCTCAGAGTCACGGATCTCCATCAACAAGGTCTTACCTGGGTAGAGAACCAGTCCACATTCTTATCATAATCGATGTGCATTGGGATGTGATTCATTTGTGTAACCCAGACAAACCAGTTACTCTCTATAAACCTGTGCACACAAACACATAAAAAACCCATTGCAGGTCTCACACCCAACCAAAACAAATCAGCACAAAACACTTGTACACACACAGGCTGCGTTTTTCTTGACAAAATGGACACCAGGAACCCCAAACATCTGATCAGATCAGACTTACACACACCTTCCACCTTCTAAAGACACAAAAGACAGAAAACCACCTCTGTCTTGCTGAAAGGCATTAGGAAAGAGAAGAACAGGGAGCCATGAGAGAGATAACCAGGAAGCTGAAGAAAAGCTGAGTAAAAAACTGGGTAAAGAAAATGTTGGAATTATAAACTGAATGATACCTGACTAACAGATGGAGCCCCAGCGTACCCTTCACCCCCAGGAAGGGCAAATAGGTGAGGAAGAATCGGATGTAGAAGGACAACATCCAGGCCAGGTCCTGTAGTCCAAGGAACAGAGAAAACTTTACTAAAAGGAAGAATTTCTGGTTTCTGAATTTACCATCACTCCCTTTAAAACCTCCTTCTATTAATTGACTCTCCCCCCCTGGCCCCATCACAAAGCAACCTGACACCAGCCATTCCTGCGCTTGGGAATTATCCTGGTTTTATGAGCCCAGCACAGGGCAAACACCAGCCAGGACATACCTTAAAGCATCCTATTTTCCTCTGGATCTAAAGAGAAACCAAGCAGTGAGAAAAGCAAAACCCCAGCCAATTAAAAGAATAACGAGCTCTGGTTTACCACCATCTCATCCTTTTTTGTTCCACTTCACATTTCTTGCAATCTCTTCTTCCCCTCATGGTCATTTTCTCCTGACCATCCCGCTTCCCAGGCAGGAATAAAACAGCAGGATGCCTTCTCTCTAGCCCCATCTCAGAGAAGAAACTTCTTTTTTTCCTGAATTTTTTCCAAAGTCTCTAAAAACCACGCTGTTCCTCAAAGTCCTAACAAGCCATCTCCCTAAAAACTCTGAAAATCTACTACCCATTCCCTGTTTCACTTCACACTGAGCTGTGAGGATTCCATTTTAGGCTTTCTGAAATCTACTTGTTTTTTAATGTATCATTTTGCAAAACAGAGTCTCACCAAGTTCTCCTGCAAAACCCCTTTGTTATCCAATGGATCTTCTACAGAGAAAGGCTGTGTGGAAGGTACCCTCTCTCCCCCAGCAAACATTACTTCCCAAATCATATTCCCACAGAGATACACAGCTCAGAGTTCCTCCCAGTAATTCCTTACAGTGGAATTTATCCACAAACCAAGGAGAAGTCACCCCTGCTGTCCAAAATTGTGCTGGAGCTGACTTACCACCCACTGCTTCCTCTGCACGGCGAAGTAGAAGATGTACCACTGAAAGTAAAGAGGCACCAGAGCTGGGGGACCAACTAGAGTGGAAAAACAGATTGTAGAGGCATTAATTATCCCAGTGAGATGGGCTGGAAAAGGAAGGGGCTGCTGTCCACAGAACTGCAGAGGGGTGGGTTACTCACTGATGAAGAAGTACTTGTGCTGGTGGTTGTAAGGCATGAATTTTTTCTTTTGCACACCAAGCTGTTAAAATAAGCAGATGACTCAGTCTGTGGCTGCTATGATGTGTTTTCACCCTGCTTTGGGTGCACAAGAGGCTGGGCACTCCCTTGCAAACTGACAGTGACCTGCACAGGAACCTCCATCCCTACAGAGGGCACAAGTTGCCTAAAAATGCTTAAATCGAAACCCACATGAGGCACTGAGAACAGTTTGCTGCCAAATGGATTTTCAGGGAAAAAAAAACCTCCAAAAAATAACCTATGATACTATTAATAAAGATGACAGCGTGTACAACTCCTACCTATTTGCAATTAGTCTTCAAAGCAGATAAATGAGCACCTAAACATTAAACTGTGTCCATGGGAATGAGAGTGAATAGATTATCCTCCCTCTGAGACTGCTAATTTTTCAGTGTTTGCTGTATAAACATAACAGATCATGTCACTGACTTCCTTAGGAATGCCATTATATCCCTGTACATGTCTAAACTAATTCCCAATAGCCCATCCCTTAATTTCAATGAAAATCAGAGCATTTAAAGTGACATTTTGAATTTATATGACTATTTTTTTAAAGAAACAGCAAATGCTAAAGCCATTCAATTATCTCCTGAGCTGTACCAGAAATAGAGCTGGACTCCAGATGGGAGCCACTCTGACACCCACTGTCAGGCTGAGACCACCAAAATAGCTTCTTTGATCAGTGATTGTAAAAGTTCCAGACAGCCCTTGCTTTTCATCTGCTGCTTCATTCCCCAGATCACTACAATTAGTCACACTGAGCTTGGTAAAGAGAGAACAGCTTGTCATTTTATCTTCATACCACTGCGAGTGTCTCAGCGGGGAAATATGAACTTGTAATTGTGGTAGATATTTCATTCTTATTTTCTAGCAGAAATAACTTCTAGTGAAATTTTAGGGATATAAAGATCTCAGAAGCATTGAAATATTGAGGTACTACTAAGGAATATTGGGAATTAGTGAAAGACAAAGTAGCACTATATAAAACTTGCTCAATGAACCAAATGCTCTGTAGCCTCCAAGCTCTCTGCAGCTTTCCAAATTTGAATCCCACTGCTGCAACCTCCCAGCTTTTATGAGGTCTCACCTCTACAGAGAGTGTTTTTCCCAAAGCAAAAAACAAGGGGTGCATGTTGACGTCGGGGTCCTTCCTGAAGCAGTTGGGTTTAGCGTGGTGTTGGAAGTGGAGGTGGTTCCACCAGCTGGCTGGGGCTCCCTGTGGGAAGGGATGAGAAGAGAGTGCCCTAAAAATGTTGTATTCTCTGCCTTTAATCCTCCCTCTCCAGCAGCTCCTTGGATTTGCTTTCTCCTCATTCTGCTCTTGCAGCCCCTCCCAGCACCCACCTTCAGATGGCCGATCACGAACTTGTGCACCCAGTGGTTCCACCTGGACTTGCTAAAGACTGAGAGGTGTCCAAAATCATGCTGGAGCCAGCCAGCCTGGGCCTGGAATTAAAAAAAAACCAAACAACAGTGCAGCTGAGGGAAAAAAAAGTGTCAGGAGGGTCTGCATCTGAAAAGGGCTTTATTCTCCCACGCTCCTCGCAACGTATCCCTGGATAGCAAGAGCACTCCCACTACCAGGACTCAATCCAAACACTCCTCTTTTACTACAAACCAGCGTACTCCAGACTTTGCCTAATGACTTTTAGTCCTGGATAGCTGTTTTCACGAGGAAGGAAAGAAATCCTGGGAGAAAAACAGCCACGATGCCAAGAAACAGCATTTATTCCCTCACAAAACTGCACTGAAATCAGCAACAAAGTCTCCTTTAAGGAGCAGCTTGCTGCTGCCTCCTCCGAGTACTTGTAATTCCAAGGGGATCAGCTGGCCACAGGAGGAATAGCTGGGGCTTTGAGAGCTGCTCTGTCCTCTCCTCTAACTCCCTGCAAGTTCCCATGGGAACGCCGTGGCTTGGCCCCTGCACACAGCCTTGGAGTTCGGGCACAGGGGAGCTCACAAGGGGAGCATGGCTTTCATAGTATGAGGGAGGCTGGAATAAGGAGGGCTTTGATGGAATAGGGGAAGGAAAAAGTAGGGCAAAGCCTGCTCTATCACAGCAGCCCTGTAGTTTTGCCCCTTTGGTGGAAACCAGGAAGAAGCAGCATTTTGGGGAGTCCATGATACGATTTCTCCTGTGGCAATGAGCACCTAAGTCCCAAATGTGGGGTTTGGGGATTATTTTCCCCAGCTCCTTACCTGAACAGTGCCTAAAAGCACTGCAGAGAAGAGGAAAGGCAGCGTGGATGCTCCAAAATACCAGATGACGAGCCAAGCTGCAACATCCAACACCAGGATGTGGCAGAGATACAGGAAGAAAAAGGTGTGGTTGGGGTTGAGAAGCCCCATTTTCTCAACCACTGCACGAAGCTCACGGAAATCTTCCACCAGCTTTTTCTGTGGGGAGACCCAAAAGCATCTGCTGGTCAGAAAATGCCTCAGGAACTTAAAGAGCAGCTGAGTTTTCCCCCTCAGGGATGAAAAAGGGAAAAGCTGAGGGTCACCTGGAGACAAATCTTCACCAGAAAATACTAATAATGACGTAGAAGGAAGGGGAAACTTCAGCCAACAGAGTGATTCCAGGAGATACTACGATATCATGTACAAGGAATTCTGGCTGCCAGCAATAGAAATTAAATAGCTCAATTTCAACCCAGATCCCAAATTTTTAAGACACTTACATTCTTGCTGGGCTCAAAGCTGGGTTGATCTGGTGCCAGTTCCCCAATCAGCAGTGGGCTCATGTACTTTCTTACCAGTGTCTTGTCAAGATGAAAAGCGATGAAAGGATCCTGAAACACAGACACAGGAACAGGATGGAGAAAAACAATCATTCAGGAGGCAGAAAAAGAAACATATTTCGTGGTATACTGGACTCAGCAGAAAGCAACCCAGCTAAGGGAGCTGGCTCAACCAGATTTTACTGCCACAAATCTTATTGCCTTCTTCACACCATAAATGATCATTGAGCAACCTGACCTAGTGGAAGGTGTCCCTGTCCATGGCAGGGCCTTAGAACTGGATGGTCCCGAAGGGCCCTTCCAACCCAAACCATTCTGTGATTCTATGATTTGAAGCTCAGTTCTCTGTCTCATTTTCAGTCTGGACGGTTCTGAAAAGGCCTTTTTCCAGCCTTACCATTCAAAAGATCCCTGGCAGGGAAATCCATGACTTTCATAATTTAAATGTTATGTCCTTCTCCATGGCAACCAGGTGAAAAGAATCACTAGTGACTGTTATCACATTCTATGTTATACTCACATTCTATCCCTACATTTAAATTACAAATCCCTTGAGCACACAGGGCAGTTTGACATCTAATTCTTACTGAAGATCTCCCATTTATCCCCTTTTCCACATTTCTCTCCCAACATTTATTTCCCTCAGCCTAAGGATGTTTTTTTCCTCTTTTCTGAGACAATTTTGCTTATTGTGTGTCACTGTGTAATCTTCCTTCACCATGTACTGTTTATCACTATAATTACTAGGTCATCATATGCTTTTAAAATAAATTGTGCTTTTAAAAGATCTCTGGTCAGGAAAGGGGTTAAAAAACTGGCTCATGTTGCCAGCTCTGGGTCAGCTGTAGCATCCTCTCTGCTCAGGGTTACTGAATAAAGGAGGGAAACAGAGAGGCGAACCAACATTTGCATTTTCTCTTTGCAAAAGGGGAAAGAAAATAGGGAGGAGTATGTGGGCAGATCAGAGGAGGATGGTACCACACATTTAAACCAATCCTTTCCATGGGGGCTGTAAAACCTGGCAGTGCAATCCCAGCTGGAGGTGAAGGGTTGGCTGATTGTACCTTCTAGAAATCAGAACACTCCAGAGGCATTCAGCAAACCAAAAGTGCTCTTTCTTCACTTCCCGTTTTTTCTTGGTTTTGAGGAGTCTTGTTCTTTTCAATCCCAGGACAAAACTGTTGGAAAACAAAACTTGGCAGGGGTTCCTGAGTGGTCAGCAGTTCAACTGCATCCAGCAGTGACAATGATGATATCACCTAAGGAATGCAGCTGGCTGCAATCCCACCATCCAACCATGTTCACACCATGTGCTGACCCTTTTCTGATCACAGAATCACAGAATGTTTGGGTGGGAAGGGTCCTTTAAAGCTCATTTCATCCCCCCCTGCCATGGGCAGGAACATCTTCCACTAGCCCAGGTTGCTCCAAGCCCCGTCCAACCTGGCCTTGGACACTTCCAGGGGTGGGGCATCTACCACCTCTCTGGGCAACTTGTTCCAGTGATAGGGCTTTGCAAATGCACATGTGCATCCTGAACTCATGAAGTGTGTGTGAAGTGTGCAAATCCACGTGTCATCTTCAGCCTTAAGTGATATTTATCTGATGAGATCTTCACATGAAGATCTGAAGTTCCATCCTTTCTGATCAGAGGCAAAATTGAAACGTAGCCCATCAAAACGGCTCTTGATGTAGATTCACATCCCATCCCCACCCTTGGGTCCAAATAGGTACATTTGGAGAAATTAACTTTCTTCTGTGAAAAACATAAGCAGATAAAGGAAGGAAACACACTGAACAAAGTCACCCCACATCCAACTCGATCGAACAGCATCTACTGTGCTTCACAACAGTTGCTGGCATCCAGGCATGAGTGATTCATTTCTTTTGATGACTGAAATACGACCTTCAGTAATAATTTTGCTCTGGTGCCATCTCTTGGAAACACGGTGCTCGGTTCTTTAAAGTTCCAGGAGGCTGGATGTGCGTCCATGCACTTGCAAACAACTCTGCGTGCGCACACACAGCAGTGTCACTGTGAAACCCGCCTGTGCCACACCTGGAGATTTAATAGTCTTATTGACTCTGCGTGCAAAAATTAGGGAGAGATTCCCCCAGATTGAAGCCCGGCTGCAGTCGCCCTATTCGCACACTTTTGAGAAATTCCTTTTCGTAATTCCTTTAAAAATGTTTCCTTTTAAAAATAGTCCCCCAGGAGAAGTGCGGAGTGTGTATATTCCTTTGCACATAGAAGGCAATTCACACCGTCCGTGTGTAACAGAGTATCTCCTTAAACGTGTTAAACACGAGCTGCTCGCTGCTGTTCCCGCGCCCAGCGATCCTCCCCCGCGCATCCCTCCTCCATCCCGCCCCGGGATGCCGGGGATGGATCCCCCCCTCCCCCGCTCGCCCCTCACCGTGGCGTCCTGCCCGGCGTAGTGGCTGATGACCCGGGAGCCTCCCGGGTGCCTCCGGCAGAAGTGGCTGATGTCGTACACCTTCCTGTCGATCACCAGCCAGCGCTCCTGCGGGGCCGGCCCCCGCCCGTTCCGCTGCCCGATCTCCTCCCAGGTGAAGCGCCGCAGCCCCCGGCCGGGCTCGGAGCCCTCCATGGCCCGGCTCCGGTGCGTTCCGGCTGGGCACGGCTCGGCTGGGCTCAGCTCAGCTCGGCCCGGCTCCTCCTCTGCGATTCCCCCACGCCCACTGGGCTGCGCTCGCCGTGCGACCGCCCCCGAGGCCGGAGGGACCGGGGGGACAGGAGGGGAGCGGGGACAATGGGGGATTTGGTGATGGACATCACGGAACGGGAGGGAATTCGGGCTCCCGCAACAGGCGTCCTCGGCTGTCCAGGCTGGAATGATTCACGGAATCATTTAGTTTGGAGAAACTCTCTGGGACCAACGAGCGCTGCCGAGGCACGTCTAACCCATGTCACGGAATCACAGAAGTTTTCGGGTTGGAAGGGACCTCTGGAGATTACCCAGTCCAACCCCCCCTGCCAAGGCAGGGTGACCTGGAGTAGGCGACACAGGGAGGCGTCCAGGTGGGGTTTGAATCCTTCCAGGGAGTGAAATTCCTCAGTGTCCCTGGGCAGCCTGTTCCACTGCTCTGCCACCCTCAATGGAAAGTTATTCCTCGTGTTGAGGTGAAACTTCTTGTGTTTTAGTTTATGGCCATTGCTCCTCATCCTGTTGCTGGGCACCACCAAAAAGATGTCCCCAAGTGCCACATCTGCCTGCCCTTTAAATCCTCCCAGGTCATCCCTCCAGGTGACTCCACCACTGCCCTGGACAGCCTATTCCAGGGATTGACAACCCTTGACAATTTTCCCTCATATGCAGCCTAAACCTCCTCTGGTGCAACTTTAGACTGTTTCCTCCTGTCCTGCCTTGTTACCTGGAGAAGAGACTGACCCCCACCCGGCTACAACCTGCTTCCAGGGAGTTCCCCTTCCCCACACTTGAGTTGCTTCTTTTGAACCACTTTCACAACCTGTTTCTCCTTATTTCTGGGCTGAGGATGCCTCATCTTCCTTACCCTGAGTTTTGTTTCTCCTTTGCAGCAAACCCCTCCCTCTCTTCCATCTGTCCTGCCTCCCCCTTCCAGCTGCCACAGCCTCTTCTGTTCCTATGGCTCCATTTGGCTGCTCCTTCCTGGATATGCAGCCAGAGGGAGGAAAGGTATATATGACATAACAACCCTGCAGCCGAGTCTTCATACAACAGACTATTGAACAGTGTTAGAAGATGAATGATGCTAAAAATCCATCTGCGTGGGACTTCATGGATATGAATTACAAATGTACATTAAAATGCCTCTCCCCACATTCCTCTCCCTCCTCCCTTTTCATAGTAGCACCATTCTTCTCCCTGATCTCTCATTATTGATTCCAAATTTCTTTGTTTTCATTCACACCTTCCAATCTGACCTAGTTACAGCAATTCCAGTTGAATGTAACCATGGAAACAAAGAACCACCAGGCTGCATCCCTTCGTGTTCCGAGCATCACCTGATGGCTACATCACATCTTGGAATTCTATCCCTGCAAAACACTTGATCAAACATACTTATTTCCTTCCCTTTAGCAATGACACAGCTAATGCAGTGAGCTTCTACACATTTTCACTGTCAACCATGAAAGAAAAGGTTCTCTCCTGACCTCAGAAAAATTAAGTTGTTTTTTATGTTGGCTCTCAACCATCTCACCAACATAACCAGAAAACACACTAATAAATGTTTAGCATATTTTTAAATATAACGATTATATTCAGAACTGTGCAGTAACTATTTCAGTTTCATATTTTTTTCTGATTATCTGTTGCACAAAATAATAACAGTCTTAAATTTATTTGATATTTATGAGTTTTCCTCATAAATACTGGGGGAGAAACACATAGGACAGTTTTATTTTTTCTATACAACACATTAAAAGAAAATAAATTCTTCCTACACAAGTTAAACCTTTGGAAACTTGTTTTTTTAAGGGCCACTGAGCTTGATAAACTGCACTCCTATCCCCCTCATATGCCAATCTCTGATTTCAGCTATAAAGGGTGTTAACACCTTATTAACACATTTTCTCAGACAAATTATACAGCAATCCTTGGAATTCCCTTCAAAGCTTCTTCTGACATAAAATCTGTGTCTCTGCTTGTTCTCCCCTCAGCAGAGGATTCAACCCGAGGTAAGACATGGAGGCTACTGGAATCATCCAACCCTAAGCAGTGAAGGTTTTCATGTCCTGCTATGAGTTGCCAGTTGCCAGCAGTGGTTGTTTCTCCTGCACTTGCCACACTCAGGATCTCAATGGGTGTCTCAGAGACAAGAATGGGATCTTTGTGATAAAGACTGCAAGGGAAATCCAGCTGCCGTTACACACTGGCCAACATCCTGCATCCAGCTGTGACTCTTGGCATCCAGACAGTCTCTGCTGGAAGACAATTAACTTGGTAAAACGAGACCTTCAGTGTCCTGACTCCTTGTTTACCTCTACTACTCCCATCTCCATATCTACTGTCACGATCCAGCAGTGACCCAGCTCCCCAGGCTATCAAAGATCACCCAAAATCCAAGGGGAGATAAGAGATGTACTTTGATTCAGGCTTCTGATCTGGCTGCAAATCATTTCTGGCATCTCAGATGGCTGGGGATCACCAGAAGTTGGAGAAAATGTATTAAAATTCCTTATGCCACTGCCATGATTTGGCTGTAACGAGGGATCACTAAATATTCAGGCATGTGGTGAGCAAACCAGTAATCAGGGAAGGAGGAGATGGATTGAAAGGAGAGCAGCCTTTCTTTTACCATCAGGGAAAATGAGTTACAATAGCAGATGATGAGGTCCAAAACCACAAAAAAGTTTAAAGAAAAACTAACAAATGCTAAAATACAGTTTAAAAGAGCAAAGTCTAAAAGAAGAATCAGTCGTTGGCTTCGGTTCAGACTAAGAAAAGCCGGAGATGACAGCCCATGGGAACTGTGGTGGTGTGATTTACAAGCTGCTGTCATCAGTGCAATTAAAACAGCCATGCTGATGAAGCAAATGCAGGAGGAAAACACTGATTTTATCATTGTACTCCTACCAGGGAAGAGCTTGAAGCTCTTGACAGCTCGCTGCACCAGGCTGAGGACCCAGTGGAAGGATTAGTGTAACACCAGAAGAAGTGGGAGAAACTTGAAATATTTCCTCTATTCCTGTTGTATTACTGGGAATGAGCTGTAATAGTTGGACAATTTGGCCTAAATGAGTTAGTATTGTACCTAGAACTCTTTGTTTGGATTGGTAACACTTTGCACCAGCAATAAGTTCTTGATTTTGCATATAAATTATGTATCTTCAGCTCATATTAACTTTATGAGGTATTTGCTTAATTCTCTGCCCTAACAACTGAGTGTTAAAATTTAGATGCAAAAAATAAACATGACAAAGGGAAAGAATTAATGTAGTACAGTGTGGATTACAGGAGGAGGAAGACTGGGATTTGGGAGCAGTTTACATCTTGCCAGAGAAAACAACCAGGAATATGTAAGGGATGAGATAAAAATAAGCTTATTTTTTGTCCTTCAGAAGAAGTAAATTCAGATTAGTAACTGAGGGAGTGAGGCAGTAATTGTTTAGGCTTTTATACATTTGAAAATAAAATCTGAATAAGGAGAAAAGGAAAGAATCTGATGATAACAGGAGAACATTAGTAGGACAGAGTTTTCATTAGAAATTATTACAAATGAGATTCTACTGTAAGGCAGCACCAGAACAGAGCATTTCTCTCCTTATTCCTGTCCTGGTGGGGCCCTGCAGTGTCTGCTGCTTTCTGTACTCCAGCAGTGTGACTCTGTCCTCTGCTTCCTTGGCAGCCAGAGCAGTTTGTGCCCTGACCCTGATAATCCTCCTGCCAGCCCAAGATCCACTGCAGAATGTGGAATTCCTGCCAGTCAGGGCACAATGGGGATTTCTGTTTCTTTGTTGGTTGTTTCCCTCACAGAGTTACTCAGCTCTCAGCCACTCTCTCAGGGCTGGAACAAGTGCCATCAACACTGGAATATGTCAGAGTATAAAATATCAACACGTAGCTTTTTGTCTTTATTTAAAATATATTGACTGCTACAGCATCCTTACCTAACCACTGGTTCTCTCACCTCAGGCTCCATGTTCCAGCATCCCATTCCCCAGCCTAGTTAGGATGTGATTTAGCTGTTTCCCACTATGTTTGAATTTATTATTCACCCAGTTCAGAGCTCCTCAGCCTTTTCTTCTAGTGACAGGGAGGGAAAACGTGGGATCCTTTCTCTCCTTACATTTGTTTTTCCTTGGCAGAGTAGCTAAAGGTATCTAAAAGTCTAAAGATGCAGCTAAATCTGATCCTCACTGTATTTTTCTCCCAATATTCTCAGTTTCCACTTTCTGTCTTAGCCCGTCCCATTTTTCCTCTTCACGTACCTGCTCCCATGTCCTTCCACACACCCCTTGTTCACTGCTCTCTCCTGCTGCCTCCTTTTCCCACCACATGTCATGGATCTATCCATACCAAGTGATGGATCTCATAGTTTAAAATGGGGGAAAAGGAGGATTTTCCCTCCATCCATGGGGACTACCGCACAGTTACAGTGCATTTCCAGGCTGGGTGCTGATGTCAAAATCAACCAGGTATTAATGGAGACTCCAGTCCTTTCTAAAAACCAAATTAAAAGACAACAAACACATAAAAGGCTGTTTTTTACTACATTTTTAAAATGCTTTCCTGAGGGTTTCCATTTCTTTTACCTTAAACCAATGCATGACACAGTGTAAAGATATCTGAACTACCAATTTGTCCTGTTTCTTTTCCCATTCCAGTCTAATCTAGCATGATATCCTTGACTTACTCATTAGCTTATGTATTTCTACATCACCCTGAGGAGCAGACACACCCTTCTACATGTACTTCCTGCAAAAAGGAATTCTCCCTCCGCTTCACACTCCTCTGCATCTCCTCTTTCACATTTTGTTTCCTTTCATGTTTCTCACCTTTTTTTTGCCCCCATCTTGTGACTATTTGGTTAAACTCAGGGCTTTTATGTCTCTCACACAAGCTCTTTGTGCCATTAAAGCTACACTGAGCAGCCACTGCAGCCTTTCACCTACTTGGCCATAGAGCAGAGTCTGTTCTCCTCTCATTGCCGAGGCTGCTTTGTGTCCCAGGAGCCAAAGAAAACTGGGAACAAGTGCTGCATGAAGCCTGACAGCCTGACTGGCTGTGCTGCTGGAGGATGAGAGTGACAGGGATTATTTTATAGGCGTCTTTCATTGACTTGTCATGAAGTTACTGCGCAATTATTTATGGGAGATATCCAGATGAGGAGTTCTGGGTGCTGACTTTGCTCCTCTGCCCATCTATGGGGAAAAGAGGCATGTCCAAAATGTACCAATCTACTTTTCAGCTCATTTTATAGGATCAACACAGTCACAGAGTGGTTTGGGTTGGAAGGGACTTTAAAGCTCATCTCATTTCAACTTCCTACCATGGGCAGGGACACCTTCCACTATCCCAGGTTGCTCCAAGCCCCATCCAACCTGGCCTTGAACACTTCCAGGGACAAAGCATCCACAGTTTCTCTGGAAAACCTGTGCCAGGGCCTCACCACCCTGCCAGGGAAGATTTTCTTCCCATTATCCAATCTAAATCCACCTTCTGTCAGTTTTAATCATTCCTTTCTCTGTGTTGCCCACTGGGCCTCTCCATCCTCTTGGACATCTCCGTGTTCTTCAGCTTTACAATCTTCTTCTATATGGAATTATAATGCAATGTGGTTTGCAAAGGACCTCTGAGGGTTAAAGCACAACCTCCTGGCTCAGGGCAGGGCCGTGGTCCTCCTCAGCACAATCACACAAACTAGAGAACCAGATTTTCAACTGCTGTTACCAGGAAAATCACTATTTGTACCTAGCCAGGATCAAGATCCCAAAATTCAAAGAACTCAGAAAGTGTCACAGTAAACTTTTCCCACATCACAAGCAGTGAGTTTCAGGTCCACCTTAATGCAATGTCTTGCTGTAATTTAGTATGATCCTGGTCAGAGGGCTATTTTGAACCAAACTAAATAAAACTAGCAAGTCTTAGGAAAACATTCCTTTCATTTCTGACTTTCCTCACCCCACACCACAGCAAAAGACTCTAATAGGCTGAAGTCCTCCTGTAGCACCAACACCAGGCAGAAGCAGAGGAAAGCTATAGCAGGGCTTGGTACAAAGGCAGCACAGGGTGGCTCTCACTAGTGTAGAAGTTTTGTTCTCTTCCTTTGATCTCTGTTCCTGTTGCCTGAGTAGGGGGTATAGATGGAGAAATGGAAAGGAACAAGTAATCTTTAGATTTAGATTGTTAGATTTTTAGATTTTAGATTTAGATTGTCAGCTCCTCCAGGCTAATGGCAGCAGGGAAAAACAGAATATCCCTTGCCTACGCCTGCTCTAAACCATGGCTTGGGCCGGACAACAACACCAGGACTGGAGGCACTTCATGCTTTCACTGGTCTCATCCCATGCTTCCCTTCAGCATTGAGGTGTGGGAGTTGGCTAAAAAGAAAATTTCATTGTGAATTAAAATATTTCAAGTGAATTAAAACATTTGCTAGGACAGGGGAATGGTTTAAACTAAAGAAAGATATTTAGATTGGATATTAGGGAGAAATCCTTCCTTATGAGAGTGGTTAGGCCCTGGCACAGGTTGCCCAGAGAATCTGTGGCTGCTCCATTCCTGGAAGTGTTCAAGGCCAGGTTGGACAGGGCTTGGAGCAACCTGGTCTAGTGGAAGGTGTCCCTGCCCATGGCAAGGGGTGGGATTAAATGATTTTTAAGGTCCCTTCCAACCCAAACCCTGTGATTCTATGGTGAATTCCTTCTCCTGCTCTGACCCAGACAGTGCCACTACAGAAAGGATTAATAACCCTTCCATTTATTCATGGCAAATAATCTCAAGAAAAGATCCCTATCTCCAGGAAAGCTGGGGGTCACACCTGCCTGGCCCTGGAAAGTGGTCACAGAAACTCTCAGATGTGAAAAAAGCAGCAGGGAAAGTGCTGTGAGTGGTTTCTGCTCTTGCACCACAACACCTTGTGTAACATAACGACAGGGATTGGATAGAATAAAGTGCCCCACGGCAAGGAAAAGATGGCATTGTCCCACCTGTTCATAAAATCATGGCCCTTGGCAAGCAAACTGGCTGAGATCAACCAGCTCTCTTTTTGACACAAGGAAGCTGTGAAGTCTGGCAGCCTCAGTGGCAGGATGGCAAAAATAGAGCAAAACAATGGTAATTTCAGGCAGAATTGCAACATCTTTTTAAGCCTGACAGTAAAAAGGGAGGTGAGAAGTCTGGGGGAAAAAAAGAGAGACAAAGGAAAAAAGGGGGTAAAAAAAGGGATGAAAAAGGGAGATATGTTTAAAAAGGGTCAAAATGTTTTAAAAGGTAAAAAAGGTTAAAAAAAGGGGAAGAGGGAAGAGGGGAAAGTGAGGGAAGGGGGGAAGAGGGGAAAGGAGGAAAAGGGGGAAGTGCGGGAAGGGGAGAAGGGATAAAGGGAGGAAGGAATGAAAAGAGGGGTAAAGGGGGAAAAGGGTGGAAAAAGAGGGAGGGTAATGGGGGAGGGAGAGAGAGAAAGGGGGAAAGACTGAAAAGAAGGGGGAAGGGAAGAAAGAAGGGAGAAGAGAGGGAAATGGGAGGAAAGGAGGGGGAAAATGAGGGGGGGAAAGGGGGCAAAAGGGAGAAGGGGAAAAAGATAGGGAAAAGGGGAGGGAAAAGGGGAGAAGAAGGGGAGAAAGGAGGGAGAAATGGGGAAAGGGGGGGAATAGGGAAGGGGGGAAAAGGAGGGAAAAGGAAGGAAAAGAGGGGATAAACGGGGGAACGGGGAGGGGGAGAAAAAGGGGATCGGGGGGGTTGGTAGGGGAAAGGGAGGCGAAAGGCAAATCCAAACAAAAAAAAAAGCGGAAAAGGACACCGCGAGAAAGGAAGAAACAAACCCCCCCCCCCAAAAAAAAAAAAAAAAGAAAAAAGAGAAAAACAACGGGGGGGGGGGGAAGAGGAGGGGGGCAGCTCTTTAAAGCAGGAGTAAAAATCTCGAGGACACGAAGCCCAGAGCGAAGCGGAGGAGGAGGAGGCGAGGGGCTCCCTCCCGCCCCCGGCCCCGGGCGGGCGGTCCCGGCCCGCGGCCGCCCCGGCTTCGAAAGATCGGTCCGGGCCAATGGCCGGGAGCGGGAGGGCGGCGGGACGGCTGGGATTGGCGCTGGGGCTCGGCTGATCCCGCCGGGAAACCCGCCGGCACGGGCTGGGGGGGGGATGCTGGAGGGGGGGAGGATGCCCTGGAAAGCGGGGGGGATGCCGGGGAAGGGGGTGGACGGAGGATGGTTGAGGGGAGAGGATGTCGGGAGTGAGAGGATGCCCGGGCGGGCGGAGCTGGCAGCGGGGGGGGGGGGGGGGGGGAGGCGGAGGCGGAGTATACCCGCGGGGAGGTATTCGGGTGGGGGGGGGGGGGGGGGGGGGGGGTGTTGGAAGGGGCCGAGCTTCCCACAAAACAGGGCTATGTGCGAGGAGAAAGTGCACCAGTGCGGGGACAGCCAGCCTAGGGGGCACTTCCGAGCAGGCGGAGAGATTCCAAGGGCTGGGAAGCGAGAGACAAAGAGAAGGGAGGACATGAGCGAAGGCGAAGGGGGAGAGCAGGGGATCAGCTGAGTCAAATCCCGCAAGGAAAACCCTTCCCCTCCGGCGCATCCCTAAGAAGCGCAGGGACAGGTTCCCCCCACAACCTCACCCTTGGGGCAAGAAGACAAAGAACGGAGTGGCCCCATGGGGAAAGGGGGAGAGCAAGGGGGGGATTCGGGGGACCCGGCGGCGCAGATCCGCTTCTACACCTGGGAGGAGATCCAGAAGCACAACCTGAGGACGGACAAGTGGCTGGTGATAGAGCGAAAGGTTTATAATATCACCAAGTGGGCAAACAGACACCCGGGGGGTCAGCGAGTGATCAGCCACTGCGCCGGCGAAGATGCCACGGTAAGGACCCCCCGCACCGACCCCCGCTGCTCTCCCGGCTCCAGCAGCATCCTCTGACAGCTCCTTCTCTCCCTGCTGGGTCTGAAGGGAGCCGGCTGCCTGCCTCTTCCCTCTCCCAGTCTCCCTACCACCTGCTGGACATCCAGCTCAGCCCTTTCGCTGCTTGGAGGAGCGAAAAGCTTGATCCAAAGAGATGCAGCTCCCTGGAACCCTGGCAATCCGCAGCCCAGAGATTGCTCGGCTCTGCCTAAATCCTGCTAGTTTGCCTTTGTCTCGTTTGTGCTGTGCCTGGAGCTCTGAATCCAGGAGCAAAATGTCCCAAATCTTCCCCTTTCTGGTATGTCTGACATGCAGAGTCACACAGCCAAGCACGGGAAGGGTTAAGGAGGGGCCAGGCTGTGTCTCAAAGTTGCTTCTGTGAGGAGGGTGAACTTGAGGCTTTAAAACAAGAAGCTTTTTGGTTTTTTTCCCCAGGAGCGAATTCTCTAGAGAGTTTGGTTACAGGTTGCTACAGAAAAGAAAAAAAAAAAAAGCAAACCATTTGCTGCTGCTCTAGCTGCTCCTGTGCTGGGTTCAGCCACCTCTCAGGTTTCAGCAACTTAAAAAACAAGAAGCCAAACCAAACCGAACCAAAAGAAAACCCCAACCTTGACAAAGGAACAAATTAGAAATAAATTGTTTGTTGTCTGGAGTTTCCCTCAAAACCACCTTCCTCAGAAGTGCATCCAGAGAGTGTTCTCTCCTCAGGGTACGTTAATAAAATCCAAACTGCCTCAGAGCTTTTCCCAAAATGTGCAGAGATCAAGCAGTAACATTAACTGTTGGTCTCCCACAGCTCCTGACACCTTAACAAGGAGGAGGTTCCATGTGTTATAAAATTATTTGGCAGAACCACTGACCTTACCTTTCCATCAGTCCCCATTTCCCTGCATTTCGTGGTAATTTTTCCATTCTTTTCCTTGAAACACAGAGCCGCATTTTGGCATTCCTGTCCCTTTCCAGTAAATCCTCTGAATGAATAGCTTTCTCCCTCAAAAAGATGGGCCAGGTTTTACTTTCAACTGTTTAAACACAGAGCTGGTGAAACTGGAGGAATTTGACTCCTGTTCCCAAGAATTTAACTCCAATATCTCCATTAGAAACCAAAAAGCATCAGCTATTATATTGGTCTGGAATCCTTAAAAGGGAGGCTGAAATACAGGTTGGTGATTCTAGGATTGCTGGTCCTCCTCCCACCTCCCCACCCACCTTCCCACCCTTCTTACATCTCATGCCATGAAGTCACGGTCTTAAAAATGCTCTGAAATTGTTAAATCACCACTCTGAGCCCTAAAGCAGGATTGGCATCAGTTTTCCAGCTTCCCTGTGGTGAATAATAGTTTAATGCCAAAAAAACCTCTCTCTCATTCAGGGTGAGAAAGGCTTGGCCTTGACTCTGTTGAGGCTTTAGCTGACAAGTTTTATTCTGTGTTGCAAGGTATCACAACTGGGAGAGTTTAGGAAGAGGAAAAGGCAATGATAAAAATTCCCATGTTTACATTCCTATTTTGTGTACGGCTTCCATCTTTTTCAGATTCTCCTTGGCAACAAGTGTAGTTGGCAGGGAGTGCCAGGACAAGGGGGAATGGCTTCATACTGACAGAGGGTGGTTTTAGGCTGAGATATTGGAAAGGAATTCTTCCCTCTGAGGACAGTGAGACTCTGGGATGAGTTTCTCAGTTAAGTTGTGTCTGCCCCATCCTTGGAGTGTTCAGGACAGGTTGGACAGGGCTTGGAGCATCCTGGGATAGTGGAAGGTGCCCCTGGGGGGATGGAATGAGATGATTTTTAAGGTTCCTTCCAACCCAAACCATTCTATGAGTTTTAGGCCACACTTTAACACAACGTATTAGTCTGGGACAACCTGGTCTGGTGTCACCTCATGCACAGAACAGGAAGGCAGGGACACCCTGCAGTATCTCAGTTTCAGGATGTTCAAGGATGTGAAAGAACATCCTTGTGCCAATGCTCTAAGCACTTCAAATGTCCATACCTCAATTATACAAAGCTTTTTTGCATCAAAAGCAGCAGGAATAAATCCCTCTTGCCCATATCCTGTAAGACACTTAAGCTTATTTGGTCAGTAGAACATAAAGCTGGGAGGTCAAGTGCCAATATCACACAGCGCTTCCCCAAGACTATCTTTTGCCTTTTGCTTTTTATCTCCTGTGGTACAGAACAGAGGACAATCCCAAAATTCAGATACTGTCTAATATTCAGGACCTATTAATAAAGGAGATACATGACATATAGCTAATAAAAACATTTCTTGTTGAGTAACATTGTATTTTGACATCCACATTTGCATTTCTGACCAGTTCCAACCCCTGCCTTTCATCCCACCCAGAAAGAAGTGAACTATTCAGTTCAGGGGCAGAAAAAGGAAAAGGCCCTGGAAAAGGCATGACAGAGCATTTATAGGTATGTTTAGAAAACAGGCTACCGGCAGGGAAGCCCCAGGTAGACAAAAATACCTTTTAGCTATATTAATACAACCTAAATTAATACAACACAAACCAGCAGGATCTCCAGCACAGTGACAGGCAGTACCCAGTCAGACTTCCAAAGACTTTTTTTCCCATTAGTTTAAATTATATCGAGTTGACATTTTTCTTACATGTTCACCCTCTTCCTCTTTCCCCTTCTTCTCCTTTTTTTCACCCAAAATTGCACAGCCTTGCAGTAGGTACAGTCAGCTCTCCACTCCCCCATTCATTCTGCTCTTCTTTCCTCTTTTATACCATCTGAAAATTGTCCCAAAGAAGGGAGCCAGCAACCAGAGTTAACATTTCAGTGATGTATTTGTGGGTCCTAGAGCAGAAAATGCTACTGTAACTGTTTACATATGTGTACATATATACACATATACACACAAATATTACCTCCCACAGCAAAATTTCTACAGTCAGAGTGCTATTTCAAAGCTCAGTCCAAAGCCTTGGAATCAGGTGAAAGGTGCTGTTGCTTTTGGTGGACTTTGGGACTTTGGGCTTTTGATGGAGGTCAGCTCCCAGAAGGGTCAGCTTTCACTCTGCCCTTTCTGTTTAGAGCCAGGAGGGAGACCTAGCTGGTCTCTATAATTGTTAGGCAAGGGGACAAAGGTGGAAAGGCTGAAGCACAGTACTCCTGACTCCCGGTTTTAACTCTTTTTTTTCCATACTGGTCTTAGCATTTCATGGAACTAATCTTCACAGCTCTCCTGGGTGAATTCCAAGAGTTAACTCTGTGCAATAAGGAAAGGGCAAGGACAGAATAAGGGCTTCTGATCTTGGTCAGCTTTTTGTCCCTAACACTGTGTTTGGGTTAAAATTTAAGCCTTGGCATGTGAAAGGAGGGGTGGGCAAGATCTCACTACTCACATCAGATATGCTCCCATCAGGCACCTGTAGGATACAGGTAGACAAAAACATATGGGAAGGGAAAGGAGTAGAAAAAAAGAAGAGTTGGTTAAACTCATGAACTCCAGGATCAAATCAACTCTACAAACAAGGCATTATTCTTCCATATTAGAAGAAGCCTTGAAAATAAGTAAGAAAAATCATATTCCAGCTGGTTTCCTGCTTTTCCAGCCACAGGAGTATATAGGATGGGACTTATCTCACAGGTTTCATCAATATTGAGTTCCATTCCTCGATTAGATTCTGTTGCTGAAATTTAACAAACTATTTATGTCTATTAACAAGTATTACAGAGACTTCAGTGAAATGCACCAAACATTTCAGACATGCACTGAACAGAAAATACACAGTAGAAATGACAAGAAATCTTATCACATGTATTGATAACTATGATAATTTGAAGATTTCTAACCTGCTTAGCATGGTTGGGTTCCTCTCTAAGGCTTGCAGAACAGCCAGTATATCTAGAATATGGTTCTAGAATGAAGAAGAGTTAAGGGAGCACCCAGTTACTCATCTTACAGAATAAAAAGAGAAAGGCAGGCTCCAAAATAAAAAGTCACCAAATTTCCTCAGCTGTTTTACTGCTGGGATCTACAGGATCTACACCCAGTAATATTTTTTGTATTTGGGTGTTTTTTTTGTATTTTTGGTATTTTTTGTATTTGCAGTTATGTCCACGTTCAGTCACCACAGTCAACCCCTGCCCAGCATCAGACTTTCCAAGGGTATTTATATCCTAGTAGGGATTTGCACAAATTCCTCCCTGCCTACCTTCTAAGGGAATTAACAGGGTTTAAGTATTTAGTTGCTTAGAAAACATTTCTTGAGGTGCCTTTCACCATATGGCTGAAAAACTTCCCAGGTCTCACCATTCCCTTGAGAATAGGGAAGCAAATCCATTTTGGATTTAAGGTGGAATTAATGCAGTGATCACAGAGGTGGAGGTCACCTCCTGCCCCCCTTTCACAGGTACGTGGGGGGGCACAGCTGTTGGAGGTGGAAGGGAATGACACAGTGAATAGGAAGCACATTTTACTCTTGAATCTCACAGTTACTCCTGTTTCCACTCCAGGATGCATTTCAGGCTTTCCATATCAATCCCACCTTGGTGCAAAAGTTTCTCAAGCCATTGCTTATTGGAGAACTTGCTCCAGGGGAGCCCAGCCAGGACCGAGGTAAAAATGTGAGTATTTTTGTCTGATTTTTGGGTTCATGATGGGTATTCCCATCATTTTTAACTCCTGGTATGTTCTCCAGGTCAGAAGCAGGCAGACTGTAAAGGTGTCTTCACTACAGGCAGCTCCAGAGAGGGAGGAAAATTCTCAGTAACTAAACATCTCCACGTAGCAACACACACATCCCAGTATAGATTTAAATGTCTGTGGGAGTGGGGCGACAGGTTCAGACTGTCTGTGCAAACCTTCCCTTTGCCACAGAGCCACCAACAGCTGATTTCTAGGCTGGCCTGATCCCATCCTGAAGGGAAGTGGGAACTGAGACATGTGGAGTGGGAAATGTGCAGCAGCTCTGGTGACTGGGGTCCCTTCTGCTGTTCCTTCTCTGGTGACAAGCTCTAAAACACGTCGCCACTTGCCTGTTGTGGGAGAAGGAGAGGAGTAGGCAAAGTCTGAATAGGCTTCCAGACAGGTGTTCACCACCTCAACAAGACCTAAATCTCTTTCCCTGTTTGCTCTGCAGCTCCCTTTGACACATTAATCCCAGGGAAATGCCTCTTTGAGACTCCAACTGGCTTATCCTGCTGAGTACAGTACCAGCAAAGCTCTGGGGAGCACATTGTGCCATGCATGGCATGAACAGAGGTGACCCAGATGTCTCATTTTGGTGGCTGTGCTAAGGAGCAGCAACCCACCAAGCAGCTTTTCCACCCACTCACCGTCCCCAGGGCAGCTCTGTCTCCCTGCCAGACTGTTCATCCATAATTCAGGCCCAGAGCGTGGCACGACTGGCTCCTGCCACGAAACCCTATCCTGCCCCGATGTTTGTGGCTGGCCATGATTATGATATATCTGTGTCACTCACAATAGAGGAGCCAGCACTGACCCCCAGTGACCCAGGAATGCTTCTCATGGACGAGTGCACGGCACTGCCCCACAGCTTGAATAGACGACCGTTGCGCCGATATTGGATGCTCATCATCAGAGCTCTGGAATTCTGCACAATAGCACTGGTTTCCCTCTTTCTCCAGCTTCTCTTTAGCACTTGGGAAGCTCATTCAGACAGGAGTCAGCAGGTGATATGATTCTTGACATAGCCAGGTCATGCTGCTGATCCACAGCAGGAGGCTTGAATTACTCTCCTGGCTCAAGGTGCAAAAGGTCAGGATGTGGGCTCAGAGCAGCCAGGATGTTTATTCATAGGGAAGTACTGTGAAAAGCTGTAATACAGGGTGAATATGGAGGCAGGTCCTTTACTTCTGGAGTAGCCAACCAATGCAGGGTCCTTAGCGTGGAATTCATCCTTCAGCTCATTCAGAGTCACTGAAAAGCCTCACACTGCTCTTGCCTGTCTCTTGCAGTCTCAGCTGGTGGAGGATTTCCGGACCCTGAGGAAGACTGCAGAGGACATGAACTTGTTCAGAGCAAGTCCTTTGTTCTTCTCTCTTTACTTGGGCCACATAATTGCAATGGAAGTGTTGGCCTGGCTGATGGTTTCATACTTTGGTACTGGCTGGATCACAACCCTCATCCTGGCCTGCATCCTTACGACTTCCCAGGTGAGAACTTGTAGGGATGGAGCACATTGGCTGCACAAATCACTCAGGAGAAGGACAGTGTGTGCTGAACTTTTCATATTACATTATTGATGAGTGCAAAACAGTCACACCAGTGAAAAATACTCACAACTTACCTGCCGCTGTGGTGCCTCCTGATTGTGGCTCACACATTTTTCTCACCTTTTTCTCTTTTCCTTCCACATCTTGGTGGATTTGGCAGTGTCACTATTATGGTTGGATTCATGATCTTAAGGGTATTTTCCAATCTGAATGATTCCATGATTAAATGTTCTCCTCCAGAGATCTTCACCTTCTCACTCAGTTAATTCCCTCCTTCCTCACACTCACAGTGTGCTTTCTGTCTCTGTTTCTTCATGCTTCACTCTGATTCCAAACAGCTTCCTAACTATTTGATTTCCCTTCATCCCAGGCCCAGGCAGGGTGGCTGCAACATGATTTTGGACACCTGTCTGTCTTTAAAAAATCTTCCTGGAACCACATCGTCCACAAGTTTGTCATTGGACACCTGAAGGTAAAGGACACTATGAAAACAGGGCTCTGTAGAAACACCTGTGGGTCACTTTGGCTGTGTCAGGGTAGGAAAGAGCAGCTCTAAACTTTCCCAAAGTGAGCAGAAGCATAAAGAACTTTGTGACCATTGCACATGGAGCTGTTGTGCAGAAGAGATAAGAGATTGTATTCATAGCTGATTCAGTAATTCCAAAAGTTCCAGTGGAATCACTCTAATTTATATCAGCTGAGGACAAAGCTTAATAATTTTTTACATCCGTATTTTTGCCATGCACTCCAATAAGGAATAATATCTTTCAAACATCCCATCCTGCTACATGCCACCCATTCAAGATGCCTTCAGGACTTCTATCCTGGGTAAAGTCCAGTGCAATCCAGGCATTTCATCCATGTGCAGCAGGAACCAATCTCCCAAACCCACTTTGTGCCTCACAGGCAGAGAAGGGAAACAAGAATAATAACTGGCAAGGCAGCAAGAGTGTTTAGTGGTGAATTTGGTTAGTGTTAATCAGTGGTTGGATTTGATGATTTTACAGGACCTAAATGATTCTATCCATCCCTGGAAGTGTACAAGGCCAGGTTGGACAGGGCTTGGAGCAACCTGCTCTAGTGGAAGGTGTCCCAGCCCATGGCAGGGGGTTGGAACTGGATGGTCTTTAAGGTGTCATCCAACCCAAACCATTCTGTATGGGAAGACATGGTGACATGTAACTCACTGAGAGTGTATTTATTCCCTGCCTTTCAATACAGATAATCCTTAGTGAGGGTGAACCATCCCTCTGGAACCAGCAGTCTCATATCAACCAACAGCTCAACCACTCCCTGCTTGTTGCTATTTCAAAAGCAAATAACATTTTGGCCATGATCTGAGTTGCACCAGTTTAGTTTATATGAATGATTGGGTAATCCTACCTTTAGAGGAGCCGGAGCTTCCCATGGATGAATCCCTTGTCCTTGTGTCTGCCCAGGGTGCCTCTGCAAACTGGTGGAACCACCGTCACTTCCAACACCACGCCAAGCCCAACATATTCAAGAAGGACCCAGATGTGAACATGCTGCATGTTTTTGTCCTTGGAGATACACAGCCTGTTGAGGTAAGAGAAAGTGGATAAAACATGGAAAACTACTGTCCTAAAAGGGCTTCAGGCAATGATTGCACAAATCCAGGAGTTGGCTCCTGTTGGTAGACATGACTTGCACAGTCAAGACTTCCTGGAATGCTGGAAAGGAAATATTTAATCCAGGGATTTCATCTGGCTACGTTGTCTGACGGGAGTTTGGCTATCACACCCTCCCCAACGCTTGGGCTGAAGAGCAGGGCTGACTAATAATTCCCTATCCATCTCCTGTGCTGACCACGGGAGAAAGTGTTTTGGGGTAGCTTGGGGAAAACAATGCAGATGGGGTTGGAAAGAGAGCAGAGAGCCCTCAAAGGCAACTTCATCCTGCTGGCTTGAAATATCAGCGTGAGGGGGAAATTGTGTTCCTCAGTCCTTCATCAAGAGCATTTCAAAACTGATCTTCCACTTCCATAGCAAATATCTTCCAGCATTAGTCAATCCAGCTGTGTCCCAGATGATCTGCACAAGGTCTTCTCCACAGAAGCAGTTGAGGGGATATTGCTTGCATAAGAATATTTTCTCATTTTTTTACATTAACTGACATGCTGCACATGAATGAACAGGCTATATTAAGTGATTTTTAATTCAATCTATTCCTCTAGAGCCAAAATATTTACTGTCTACTTATAAAAACCTACGCAAAGACTTAAACCTTGTACCACCCTTTGTCTTTTTCACAATGGAACAAGGATTTCTAGTTTACAAACAAAAAAACCTGAAGAAAATAAATAAACAGCCACCTGCAGCAAAGACCATACAGGGAAATACAACATTAAAAATGGCTTCTCAGCCAGCTTTTATACTATTGAGAAAGTAACTCCAGAGATATATAAGGGACACAGATACTGGTATATGGTCACTGGGAAGTTGCTGTGCTGGGAACAATAATGCAAGTTTACAGCAATCCACATTCTCCAGGCTCCTGGTGGGAGCAGTCCTGGAGCTCAAGAAAGACATTTCTGTATAGCTTTAGATATTTCACTGTGGAAGTGAGGTTTGGAAACTTGGTGCTTCAGTTTTGCATGGAAAACTACACAAGGATCGTTGCCTTGCACAGACATTCCGTGTAGTGACTTCCAAAAAGTCAGGCTTTATGCCTATCACATTTATATCAGGAATGATGGAGGTTTTAGCAGATTTTATCATGGCCACAGGCATGGCAGAAGTGCATTAAAATGCCATCAGGCTTTCAAGGAAATAGAAATTACCTGAAGATCAAGCCAGGAGGCTTTATAAATGAGTTTACACCTAACACAATTACAAAGTCATGATATTTAATCATCCCAAAACACTTCTTAGCTGGTGGTGGGAATTCAGTCAAAACTCTGCAGCCAGTAAATAAAGCATTGCAGAGACTCTGCTCCTACCTGTGAGTGGCACAATCCAAGGCTGAGCTTTCTCCTCTGTGTCCTGCAGTACGGCAAGAAGAAGCTGAAGTACCTGCCTTACAACCACCAGCACGAGTACTTCTTCTTCAGTGAGTATCTGTCCTCCACTTTTCCCTTTTCCTGGAATGCCAGTTGACCCTTCCAGCCCTTACTGTGCCAGCAGAGCAACTCCTTAAATCTCAGCTCATCCCACCCTTCCTCAGGATTACTGTGCAGGCCCCCAAGTCAGGACTGGGAGTAACCTCCATGGGAGATGCTCCATGGAAAAAAAAAAAAAGCATGTTCCCAGTTCCCTGGGACCAGTCCCAAATCACCAGCTTCCTCATATCACATACCTTCCCCACTCCTCTGATGGCCAAAACATTTCCCTTTGCTTTGCAGTCTTCCCACCTCTGCTCATCCCTGTGTATTTCCAAATCCAAATCATCTCGACCATGATCAGACACAGGTTCTGGGCGGTGAGTGAAACGTTCCCTCCATCCTTGTGGGGTCTGGCTGTTCCATAGGAGATCACCCTGGAGCAGGGAGGGAGGGATGGATTACCCAGTGTCCCCAGCATCACCAGCAAGGACATGTTATCCCAGATGGGCAGAGGGATGCCCGATGTCTTCTCTCTTCCCTAGGACCTAGCCTGGGCCATCAGCTACTATCTGCGCTACTTCATCACATACATCCCATTCTACGGCCTCCTGGGATCCCTGTGTCTCCTCACGTTTGTCAGGTAGGAGATAAAGGGCATCCCTACTGCTCTTCCCTCCTTCCAGTGCCAGACAAGTCCAGTCTCAGCTCTGCTCTGCCCTTTTTTAGGTTCCTTGCTGTGTGTTATCTTGGCTACTCCCACTGCTTCACTTCTCTCTTACCATCTCCCAATCCCACCTCCCTGCAGCACAGATGGTTCTGATGCTCAGCATCTCCCCCTGCACTGTGATGGTCCAGCCAGGATTCTCCTTGCTTTCCTCATTCCCTGTTCACATACACTGTCCAATCCCAACATATTTATGTGTTTTTTCCACTTTGGTCATGGCTGGATGCTTCCAGGGTGCTCAGGCCACCCTTTCCCTGAGGTAATTCTCTATCTGCCTCCAGCTTGAAGTCAAGCTGAAAAACTTATCTCAACTGACCCATTACTTCCAAAATTTTTGATCAAGCTCAAAGTGCAAGAAAAAAAAGCAAAATTGCAGAAAACAAGCCTAAAGACTTAAACAAGACTGGTGAACATCCTAGAACAAGGATGAGTCCAGGCAATACCTTGTCAACATACATCTAAATCTCAGTATAGATTAATGCATCTACAATAAAGTTACAATAAAGTAACTTCTTGGTTAAAGGGAATAGAAAGTGCATTTATCCAGACTGTTGTACAGGTGCTAAAAATGCCATTTTATACCATAAGCAATAAAAAAGCCACTCTAAATAAAGAAGCCTGAGACTTTGAGTGGTTCTGAGAGAGCAATTTATTTCAATACCTCAGAGAAATACCCTTCTCACAGGTTGTGTCTCCTGATGCTTCCTGTAAACCCCACCTGGTGTCCCCACCTATGTATCAATTGTCATGATTTCTCCTGGTTTTGAAGGTTTCTGGAGAGTCACTGGTTCGTGTGGGTCACCCAGATGAATCACATTCCAATGGAAATTGATTCTGAGAAGCACAGAGACTGGCTGAGCTCTCAGGTAACTGGGAGGGGAAAGGACACCCCAAACTCCCCCCAAAATGGAATTTACTCCAAGACTGGGTTACCACTACCCCCATGTAGTGTAGGGCATCTGCCCATGACCCCTCCCATAAAGATGTTCTTCCCAGAGCCAGCGCTGCTGGGCTGAGATATGAAAGTCCAAAATTTTGGAATTAATGTAATCAAAAGGTTCCCTCAGATTGAGGCGATATCAGGTTAAAGAAGTATGATTTGGCTTTTCTGTGTGCTGAATTTTGGCATATAGATACAAATAGTAGAGACCCAGTGAAAGTCAGAGCTGGAGGGAGAGCTCGGCATAGCCAGTTCAGAGTGCAAAAGGATTTTAAGAAAGAATATTTAATTTTACAATCATTAATAGCAAGAATAGCTAAGAAATATTGTCAGAATACTCAGACCTTGCACTTAAGGCAAACTGGGAATTAACTAGACGGGATGGAAAAGCAGGCTTTGTGTCCATGCATTTTTCCTGCCCCATTTTTCACATTGGTACTGTTGTTAACCATCTGATTTTTACTGGGAGAGGCTGAGATTTAGGAGCCTGGGCTTGGATTGCCACATCACTTTACCACCAGTCAAACCCACGGACTTTGACTTACTTCAGGTTTACTCGACAGTAAGCTCTGAAGGAGGGTTAAAGCTCCCCTTTCTGCACCCAGGTGGCCCCACCATGGCAGTGTCTGCACTCCGACAGCTCAGGCAAGAGGAGCTTTGGTCTGATTTTGGGGTAAGATGTCGCTAATCCTCACCTTTTCTCGCCCTCACAGATGGCAGCCACCTGCAACATTGAGCAGTCCTTCTTCAACGACTGGTTCACTGGGCACCTGAATTTCCAAATCGAGCACCAGTGAGTACAGACCCAGCATCACTTGGCCTTCCTACCAAATACTTCAGCTTTCACCCTCTCAATTCTAATTTGGGGTTTATTTAGGAGTTATGATTATGATTATGAGCTGTTGGCTCAAATCCTAAGCAAACTACTTGAACTTGAGCATCCATATCAGGAATCTGCTCTCTCCTAAAGCACTCCAGTGTTTTATAGTGTGTGGGACTGCATGGGCTGCCGGGCACCAGGTTCCAGAAAAGATGTTAAAACCAGGGCCATATGGGCAGTCTGTTGCCAGTGACAACACGAAATGTAAAAGAGATGGCTTTTAGGGTGAAGCTTTAGGTTTGGAATTCAGCTTAGGAAATGTCTGTTAAACAGCACTGGGCAAGGTGCCCCCAAATCCTTCTTTACCTGTGTCTCTTCCATGAGCTTCCAGGAAGTGGGAAAGGAGTTACTGGGGCTAAAATTTTGCAAGAAACAGTTATTCCCAAAGGAAATGGGCAGCCATGAGAGCAGACTGAGGCTGTTCCCTCCCTCCTGCTGCCCTCACATTGCACTTGTAGCATCCCCTGTTGCACAGACTGACTTTCATTGTGTCCTGAACGCAGCTTTGCTTTGAGGCACAGCAGGAGAATGAGTTTTCACAACCTCCTTGAAACAGAGGGCTGTAAAGCATGGATGTGTCTGTGCCTCTCTTCCTTTTTCTGCTTGTGCAGCTTGAGGAGGAGGAGGCACTAGCAATGAGGCCCCTGAGGATGTAGACAGAGATGCCCATCCCTTGGGGTTTGTCTTCAGGGTTTTCTCAGGTTTGTTTTTTCTCTCTCTCTATATTCCAGCCTGTTTCCAACAATGCCACGGCACAATTTCTGGAAGGTGAAGCCTTTGGTGAAGTCATTATGTGCCAAGTATGGAGTCCAATATGAGGAGAAGCCTCTTGGGAAAGCATTTGTAGACATTGTTGGGTAAGGTCCTTCTGGTATCACCTGCAGCTGCAATTCATGGTTACAGGGATGGGACATCCTGTATTTTCTAGCACAGAGAATTCAGAACACTCTAGACCCTTCAGAAATACCATGTCAATGTGTTGCTGCTATCAAAATACCAAACACACAACATTTAGATGGGTACTAACCTGATTGTGGCGCTTGGGGACATGGTTTAGTGGTGGCTCGGCAGTGCTGGGAGCCTTGATGATCTTAGAGGGCTTTTCCAACCTTAATGATTCTGTGATCTAACAGGGACCTTTTTTTATAACACTCTTTTTGAAATGCTGCTCTGGCAGCTGGTGATTCTTGGTTTTGGGAGCTGGCAGCAGATCTCCAGGTTGAAAAGTGAGATGAATCAAAGGGGGATGAGTCAGGTTACAGCCCGTGCTGCGTCCCATGTGAGCTCTGCCAGCAGCAACAGGCTGTTCCCCACAGGCAGAGCTGGAGACGAGTCTAATAGTCCTTGTCAGCAGCCTCTGTGTTAATGTTTCTGTCTCAGTTTCTCCAAGGGGAATAATTTATGACAGGGAACATGAGAATGCATCCTGCAGTCCAGGGATCTCCTGCACAAACCACTCTAAGCAAAGGCAAATTAAAGTGGGTTGGCCACAACATGCAGAAGAGCTGAAAACTGGCTCAAAACCTGCTTTTGTCCCCAGACACAGTGAGGTGATACCCTGTACCCCACCACATGGTCCCCACAGGATCACAAATAACACAGAGGGCATCAGGGGAAGTTCTTGCTCGCTCCAGCTCTTCTTGCTGTATCTGTTGTCCCGAAGAATGACATTTGGTGTCCTAAGGATTCATATTCTGGTGTCCTAAAGGCTTCAGGACCTTTGCTCTGGAAACAGGCTGGGAGAGCTGGGGTTAACAGCCTGGAGAATAGAAGGCTCCAGGCTTCTTAAAGTCTTAAGAGCCCCTTCCAGTGCCTTAAAGGGGCTCCAGGAGAGTTGGGAAGGGACTTTGGACAAGGGATGGAGCGACAGGACAAGGGGATATGGCTTCCCACTGCCAGAGGACAGGTTAGATGGCATACTGGGAAGGAATTCTTGGCTGCGAGGGTGGTTAGGCCGTGGCACAGGTTGCCCAGAGAAGCTGTGGCTGCCCCATCTCTGGAAGTGTTCAAGACCAGGTTGGATGGGGCTTGGAGCAACCTGGGCTAGTGGAAGGTGTCCCTGCCCATGGCAGCAGGGTGGAACTGGATGGTCTTTAAGGTCCCTTCCAACCCAAACCATTCTGTGATTCATATTAAAATTCAGTAACAGGCTTCTTCATAGGAAAAAACCCAACAAAGACAAGATTCACAACCCAAACAAACTTGTCTTCATTTTCTTCCCACAGGTCCCTGAAGAAATCTGGTGACCTCTGGCTGGATGCTTATCTCCATAAGTGAACATGAGTCTTACTGGGGAGGTGTGAGTGACCGGGAGGGATGGGAGGGAGCGGGGGGGAATCACACTTGTGTCTTTTACTCTCAGATCTCAGTCTGTATCTACACACATGGTTGGAGGGGACTTTCTTGTCTTGTCAGCTGCTTCTGGTGCAGGCTCAGGCCACCTGTTGAACCCAGACAGATTTAAAATGTGCTTCAGAGGATGAAAAGCGATGCCAGTATTGCATGAAACAGAAGGTTGGGAGAGGATGATGAGGAATGTTTAAAAAAGGGGCATTAATATCCGACCTTGACCTTCTTTTTCGCGAGATCCATTCTAATTCTGCCTAAACCACACAAGCCCTGATTCACACATGAGTTTTTAGGCCTCAGAGAGTGTCTGCAATCTGAGGACACAGCAGTCAGCTCATGCCCCTTTCCCATGTTTGTGTAAAAGAGGAATTACCACCCACAGGACCGGCAGGTGCTGGACTGTGCTGGGGCTTCCAGCCCTGCCCAGAACCCAGCTCCCTCCTTTCCCTCCCTCCTTTCCTTCTCTAATCATAGCATCCCTTTAGCCCAAGCTGTGACACTGACCCTGCACAACTAACCCCTAACAGTATTTTTAGCATCATCCTCTATTTCCAGGGGTCTGTAGAAGATTTTTGGGCTTAAACAGCCCAAACTCTCCTTTAGGAGAGGGTCTGTTTTCTCTTTAATGAGCAGCAGGTCTGGCAGAGCATTATGGCTGTCAGGAAATGACACAAAAGACCAAAACAAGTCACATAAGCAAAACTTGCTAATTGCTCATCAGTGCCCCAGAGGAGCCACAAATGGTCTTTTCACCATCCTGGGCTGCAGAAGCACAGGGTTCTGCCTGTCTGCACGTGCCTGGCAGGCACCAAAGTGCTTGTCAGAGGCCAGGAGCCATGGCACTGTTCACTCTTCCCTTGGGAACAAGCAGAGATGAAAAGGAGTTCTCCCTGTGAAAGGACGAGCTGCACAAACATTCAATCCCAACCCTTCTGGAATCAGGACTGACCGGGCTGTGCTCATGATCTGAAACCTTCTGGAGAACCCTCTCCCGGGTTGTCTAAAACTCAGTTTTCTGCTCAACACCTAATTACCAAAATCCACTGATGGTTTATCAGGAGATGTGGTTGAACAGCATCCAGCTGCTTCTGTAACAGGCAACCTGATCCCAGATAAATCAAGGGCTTTAGATCAGGTGTAATACAACAGAAAGGACACACCTTTTGGGTTATGACAAAGGGCCATGGTTTCAAAAGCAGCCTCCAGTTCCCAGAGCCATCTCAGTGCTCACTGGAAACACACAAGAGGGAGACTCTGGTTACTGTTCATGCCTCATTACTTCCCTCAGCTCTGAAACTGGATCTTCTCTATCAAATCCTTGAATTCCAACAGCATCCCACAGAACCAGCAAGGTGCTTCATGAGCAGAGACAACTCTGGGACTGTGGCCAGCGTTTCAAAAAAAAAAAAATGTACTCCCACCCCGCTGCCTTCTTTGGAAAATAAAATGAGATTCTATCTTTGCTTACAGATGGGAAATTCAGCATCGGGATTGCAACTTGAGCTACCTAGCAGTAGTTAGAGTTTGTAAAGGGCTTGTTCTGGTGTTCTTGGCCACCTGAATATCACTAGGAACGTTTAGGATGAAAAACTTCTGTCTCCAGGGCACCTGAAGCTCAAACAGACTTGGAGCAAACTGATTTCTAATATCGTAAACAACAACATCCTTCTGGGTGCTGTAATTTCCCAGACAGGTAGTAACAAGCTAGTCTGGAATCGTGGCTAACCTCATTAAAACTGCCTTAAAATGTGCATCCCTTCCTGACTCTTTGAATGTATCTCCCTGTCTGTGCCACCACAAGCCCACAGTTGGATCAGCAGTGCAAGCTTTGAAATATTCAGCTTATTCTTCTGACAGCCCACATTTTTTGTCACCTCTCCAGTTCTTATTTCCAGAGCAAATATTTTCCTCCTTAGCCCTGTTCCCTCTTCTCTTCTTGGGAAACTGTTTGCTTTGTAGCACCTATAGAAACTGCTCAAAGCTTGGCCCAGGTAAATAGTTCTGCTTTAGCAGCTTGGCTTTCCTGGGGGCCACTGATCAGTCGACTGGAAGAACTGGTTTTCTGCTAAAAACTCAACACAAGAGCCTGGTCTGGCCTAACAGGAGGCAGCAGCTGATGATGGTGGTGGCTAAAGGAACTTGAAAGATTCAAGGAGAGCAATGATCTGCAGAAGGAAAGACCAGCTCTCAGGCAACGTTTTTTCCCCAAAACCTTGGTAAAAGGGAAGAAGGGAGGACAGGATTGATCTTGAGATTCAGCCTCATGTAAAATTCCTTTTCATGAAAAAAAAAAGTTCAGTTGCTCAAATCCAGAAATAAAACCTGTGCACTGGTGGAGTCAGAGCTGATTTCCAAGTGTCATGGATGGGCCTTGCTCTTGCAAAAGAAAAAGGTCTGTTCTCAAAAAAACAGGGCACCAGCCCTCTGTAAATAGCTGGGCATTTATCTTCTTAATTGAATTTTTATGTGCTAAAAGATTGTCTGCTGAAAATACAAGATACTGGTAATTTTATTCAGGCAAAGCCTCTCTGGCTCATATGATTTTTTTCCCCCTCCCTCCAAAAAATCCAGCACTCTGTGTTGGAATTCAAGGTATTTCTTAAGTGCCTTGATGCTTTGTTGACTCCCCATCCCTGGAAGTGTTCCAGGCCAGGTTGGACAGGGCTTGGAGCAACCTGTTCCCATGGAAAGTGTCCCTGCCCATGGTAGGGGGTTGGAACTGGATGATATTTAAGATCCCTTCCAACCCAAACCATTCTGGGATTCTATAAATTCTTCATCCTTTAACTAGAGCAGGTCAAACAGATCCCTGACAAAGAGCCCTGGAAGTCTGGCTCAGTTTGTTTTATTATCAGTGTAAGTAGCATCAAAATAAAATTAGGCTTACAGGAGATATTCCTGAAGTTTCAGTAGAACTGCAAACATAGATGGATATAAACTTCACATCATGAGCTTGCTTGGCATTGTCTCTGTCTCCTAGGCAAAACCTAGGCAAAAGGCAGCAACCAGTAAGACACAAACATCCCTTGCAGGTTAAAATTTGCCATTAAAATGATTGAAACTCAGAATTTAAACACAGTTTTGCCCGGATTTCTGAGGACTCTAACTCGTTTCTCTGAAAATAATGAGGTGAAGTCTTGTTCGCTTTCTCTCTTGATAAAGGTCATTCATTTGCACTGTAATGACAAACATGGAAAAAAAAAAATCAGTAAGACATGCTGGGAGCCTGCCAGGGGTTATTGAACCCAGCTGCACCACATCACTGGCACATGGCAACAGGGAGAGGCCACGAGCTGGAAACACAAAGCTGGTTTCAGGGCAGATAATTGAGGGAAGGGCTGGGTTTGCTTCTCCTCACACATTTCTTACTGGGGACTGGAGTAGGAGGAGATGGAAGCCCAGGAAGGTTAAGGAAAGTTGGCAGGGAATGGCATAAACTGCAGCAAAGAGAAGCCTCTGGGCAGGAGAGAGATGGGCATGTGCTTTGTGAGGACAAGGACAGGGATGGGAGAAATTTGGGAAGGTAAGGGCTGGGGAGGGATGCATGAGAGTGGGAGGAAAATCGCCAAGGGGGTGAAAGGAGAGAAGAAAAAGCAACTTGGAATCAGGTGTCCCATGTTCTCCCAACTCCAGGTGTCTGCCTGGAGAACTGTGCTGGAGAAGGAGACAAGGCAGGGCAGAGCTTGGGCTCAGAGGAGAGACAGGGGCTGGTGACATCCCTAAACACCTCATGGTGAGCTGGATCTCACATGAGCTCCCTCCACCCAGCTCTGAGAGCAGGGACTGACTAGAAATGGGAATTAAGGGACTTGCACTGGGGTTTTCCTTTTAAGCATGGATTTGAGGAATCTAGATCCCAACTGCTCACTGAAATAGGGCTTGGGAGGCTCAGAGCCTCATCTGGACCCATCTCCAGGCACCATCTGGGCACTCTGGCTGGATTTGAGGTCTTTGTTAGGGCAAAGACATCCTTTTCCTTCTGTCACAAGCTGCCATGTCCTAGCCATGGCCTCTCCTAGTAGATGCTTTCCTAAGAAAGCCTTTCTAACAAAGCCCTAACATTCCCAATGTTAAAAGAGCAAACCCACATTCCTTATTAGGACAGGTCCTGATTTTTTCATTCTTTAAAAATAAAGTATTTCAGTAACTCAAAAAGAACAATTTTTTCTTGTGTACTCTGCAACTCAATAAATCATAACTATTTGTTGACCATAAAAATGCTTTATGTGGTTTTTCCAGGCACATCCAGAGTCACTGGAGTGCTCAGGGAATCTGCTTCCTCTTGGAGTACCTTCTGCCATACAAACCCCCTAGCAGGTGGCATGGAGATGCCAACTAAGGAAGGTGGGACATTTATAGGGCAGGAATGTCACCATCCAGGTTTTGCTCTGAGATCAAGAACTTATGATGTTCAAATTCAGAGCTTTGAAAGGGTCAGGGCAAGATTTGGCATAAAGGGGGATTCAAGCCTGAATTTCAGATTTAATCTTGTAACTGCTGTTTTTATCAGTTTAAAATCAGACCCCAAACCAAGAACACTGTGGAAGCAAACTCTGAAAAAGGGTTTGGGATCAGACTTGCTGATTATGGTTTCTCTTGGTTTTTCTAACTCTTTTGTTTTGTTTTTTTTTTCTTTTTTACAGAGCTGGTGATTGTGGAAAGTCCTTTTTGCACTTCACATGGTGAATTTAGGGAAATTACTTTTATAGCATGGATAGGTTTCTTTATCAGCCTTCACACAGCTCAGGAACAATGGTGCTGCTTTCCCTCATCCTGGGAATAAGCATCAAAGGAAAGGAGACCTTCCTGTCAAAGATTTGCCTGGCCATCCAAACTCAGCCTCCAGACTGTTCGGGGAGGCAACCGAGAGCCAAATTGTTGTGAAAACTTCATAGAAGCATTTTACAGTTTTCTAAAAGTCAATTTTCTGCCCATTCATGGCTCATCCAGGGCTATGGCGAGCAGCTTTTCTAATTCACAGCTCGGATCCAGTGCTTTGGTGAGCCTGAGGTCAACACCATCAGTGGGTTTTACGTCAAACACCATTTGAGGACAAGGCCATCAGTGGACTTGAGGTCAGCCCAGAGGCTTTAGAACTGGGAGACTGTTGGTTTTTCCAAATAACCCCATTTAGACCTCAATCATCAGCTGGAGCAGCATGAGAGCCTGAGGCTGTGAGTGGGAAGCACAGAGGCTGCCCCAGTCACGAGACTAAATGATGGTTGGGGAAGGCCAGACCGGGCTTATCTGCCACCTTAAATCAATACTACAGCTTTACCAGAGTCCACAGGAATTGCTCCATAGGTAAACCAGAGAGCAGGTTCTGTGAGCAGTCAAACCAGAAAATGACCCTACTTGCCCCATTTTTGGGACTTTTATTTAATCCTAGAATAAACATGTTCCCCTAATACAAACACAGGGAGCTGTTACACAAAAATAAACTGTTACAAATCAATAAAGACTTGGCTTTCCTCCCTGGGAGTACAGCTGTTCCCAGGATGGCTGAGCATCCCAGGACAGCATGGCTTGAAACTCCAAGCATTCCAAAGGAAGATGGCTCAAAAGGGACCAAGGACCTGGAAGTTCTGGGGTCGCATTCTGGATTAAGATGCCTACACTAAAACACTCTCTGCTTTTCCACAGGGCTTGTATCTCTGCTGGGAATCTTCAGGCATTAGCTGAAATGCGGAAAGACAGACAGTTTTCCAAGTTTTATCTTCCATGAGTTTAGACTTAACCTATCCAAAGGTCAGCCCATTGTTCAGCTGAGAATTGGGAAGCCATTCTGCCCCTGCGAACCCAGTACACCTGGCTGGGTGATTTTTGTACTTAATTTATCTGGTTTTAAGCTGTGAAAGACTAAAACTTCCACAGGTTACTTGAAATTAAACCTTTTCAACTCCCTCCTTTGAAATTAGCACAGGGATAGTCAGGAATCTAAAGCAGGAAATCGACATAAAATGCACCTAAGTTGGACTTGATGATCTTGAAGGTCATTAACAATATTGCTTAAAAAAAATGTTTTATTAACTATGCAGTGGCCCAATTCCAGATGTCTCAGGAAACTGTTTCACGACATACCTTGGCATCAGCATGGTAAGAAACATGTTTACGGTGCTCAGACATGCAGTTTTTACCCAGATGGTGCAAGGAGGTACCTTGTTACACAGAATCCCAAAATGGTTTGGGTTGGAAAGGAGCTTTAATGTCCATCTCATTCCACTCCCTGTCATAGGCAGGGACACCTTCCACTAGACCAGGTTTCTCCAGCTTGACCTTGGACACTTGCAGGGATGGGGCAGCCACATCCATGAGCTCCCTTTTTGCAACAGGTTTTTCAAATTCTGTTCAAATGGCAAGTTGAACCTCATTCAGCATTTGTGCTGGGTTACAGCATACTATCATATATTTTATTGGGCAGCTTGAAAAATTAGTCTGAATTCCTCAAATATCATATAGAAACACTTCCATACCGGGTCCTGCTTACACCATCCCTCTGTCCTGGTTGGCTGCAGATTCTACAGAACAGGGTATAGTGAAGGCAAATATTCCATTCACATTTCCACTCAGACTCATTATCCATTTGAAAACTATATTATAAATATGATGAAGGGAATAATCCAGGATTCTAGAATTCGAAAGCAAGCCAGGAGATGAATTATGCCCCCATGGCAACCCTTATGTAAAATATAAATAAAAGTGTTATCTAACTCCCCCAGAGGTTGGTGGGTGCAAATTTCCACTGGGGTAAGTGATGATGTTTTCTTAAATATCTTGTATCAGAGCTCTTCCACCCACAACTGAGGTTTGAAAGTCAAGCTCAGGCTACTCAGGTCAAGGGAAGCTCAGCAGAAATCCAAGAATGGGGTGGGAGAAGGTCAAGGAGAAGAATCCTCCCCTGGAAGCGCCACCTTTGCCTGCAGCACCCTTCTGAGCACAGTTAGGTAACCACACAACTACATTCAGGTGCTGGATGTGTGAATGACAATGAGAGGATTAATCACCTTAATTGCCTGTGATTGCACCCATCCTCCTTCAAATGGGTGTGTCTGGTTTATTTGCCTGATTAATTTCATTGGCCTTAATTATCTTGGCCTCAGATCTGTTTCATTAAGCAGCAAATGGTTTTATATAAAACACAGGAACCATACTGCTCTTCCTCCGTGTTTTATTCCCTTGTTGCTTACAAGGTGCCTGATAAAACCTGAAAACTTGGGTCCTGAGCTGCAGAAGATGCTGCTGGTTTCTGGCTGGAGCCAGTTGCTCCTGCCTGGCCCAATGAGCATCTGCAGGTAAATCATTCTGAGCTGAAATTACCACCCTTTGCAAGTCTATAAAACCTTCAGGCCACACTCATAATCCCAGATGGACCAAAGCAGCACAACCTGTGCTTCACCATCACCCAGGGGAGGGGCAAATAAATAAAGTGTGAACCTAAATCAAAGTGCTGCTGCCAATTCCAATTCCATCCCGTGCTCATTCTTGTCTCCTCATCATGCTGGAGCTCACCAA